AGCCAGCTTTGGTAAGGACAATAATCAGGGCACGGAACCACCTGGTCCTGTAAGCCCCAAGTCTCTACTTCCTTGGTCCTGTGAACCCTGCCTCAAGCTTCATCTTTAGGCACCAGAGATCACTAATGTCATCTGAGATTGAAGTTCCAGTGAACACATGACAGAGAGACGCTTAACTTCTTTATACATGTGCTTGAAGAGCTAATGTTCATGCCAGCTCTACATGTTAATTAGCTTTGTTTTTAATTACACACACACACACACACACACACACACACACACACTCACACACACACACAACACACACACACACACACACACACACACACACACACACACACACGCGCGCGATGGGGTCTGGGAGGTGGTTTAGTGAGTAAGGTTTGCCATGTTACCTCAAATGTGTCTCTTCACAGCAATAGAAACCCTAAGACACTCTCTGACTCCACATGCCACACACATACAAACCACCATACATACAATTTTATCATGCACACAGAAAACCCTAGAACCCCATTTCTGTCTCCCTTGCTGTATGAAGACACCAGTAAACTTTAGGGTCTTTCTACTCATGTGAGCTGAATACAGAACTGGCGGTCACTTTGGCCCTGGTTTCTGAGGAGCAAAAGCCAGGAGATGGCAAGCAGGGAGAAGTAAAGCAAGGGCCAGCCCCACAGGGAGACCCTGAGACCTTGGTGCTCCCAACATGATGGCGGTCAAGTCCTGTCCAAGACTCTTCTGGAGCCGAGTGGCCTGGGCTGACCACCTGGCACAGTGGACAGTCATTGGCTTGCTTTAGCGCTCTGAGAGCAGCAGACACTTCAGAAGGAACTGGTCTGCGGCAGAACACTCCTTTACACTGTATGAATAGATGTCACTGTGATTGGTTTAATAAACTAGCTGCTGCCAATAGCTGAGCAGGATGCAGTTAGCTGGGAAAGGCAAACCGAGAGTGATGGAAAGAGGAGGGGAATCAGAGGAGCCACTGACAGACACAGAGTGAGCAAGAGGCAAACGTGTCGTGTCAATAAAGGTACCGGCACATGGGCTAGTTTAAATGTAAGAGCTAGTTAGTAATAAGCCTGGGCTATTGGCCAAGCATTTACAATTAATATAAGCCTCAGAGTGGCTATTTGGAAGTGGCTGCCAGGTTGGGAAAACCCTGCCTACTGAAGTCTCTTGCTGTCGTGGAAACATGGAGGCAAATGAAATGTAGAGCCTTCACAGACCTACCTGATGCCAGGATCCTTGATCCAAGGAAATGGAGAATAGAAAAAGGAAAGAGGCTTAGCCTTCAACAGCAACCAGGTGTGGGGCAAAGGTCGTGGAGTCACCTCTAGGTCAATTGGTTTGCTGGTAGGCAGCCTAGAGAGCTGACGCTGTTTCTGAAGCAAGCGGGGGAGTTCCTGGTTGGGAAATGCAGGGTGGGAGACATGCAGGGTGGAGAAGATAAATGGCCATCAGTGGAGACAGGGAAGAAACCCATTAGAAGCTGGGATGCTGTGTGTCCAGCTAGTCACTGAAGTCACAGGAAAGCAGAATTGTGCAGTGCACGGCTCTTGCAACCTGGGGTACAGAGACAGCACAAGGACCGGGTTCACTCACTGCTGCGGCTTTTCTAGTTGGACACAGCCAAAGAGTGGGAGAATTAAAGTGTGAGGTGCTGGTAACAAGGGTGGGACCAGTCTGTGTCAGCAGCTGTGGGAAGGACAGCTTTACCCTGTGATTGAGAAGAGACTGGGAGAAGGGTCGACAGACCACAAGGTCCCAGTGGAACTAAGAACCGTGCCGTAGGATGTTTGCCTTCCATCCAGCTTGTATATTATACCCTTTACCCCCAGGGTCACGGCACGTGGAGGTGAGGTCCTGACCATAATTAGATCAAATCTAATTTGGGTGGGACCCTCCAGATGGCACTAGTGACCTTATAGGAGGAGGGAAGGAGAAAATTCTCTCCCTGCCCACACACCAAGGAAGCCACATGAGGATCAAGAGAGGTGGCAGGTCTTCCCTACCTGTTTGTCCAGAGGAGGACAAACAGGGATGGATGCCTCCATGTATACAGAAAGGCTCATCACCAGAACCTGGCCACGCTGGCACCCTAACCTCAGACTACCTGTCTGCTGTTGTGGTACCCCAAGCAGACCAAGCCAGGTGGGAATAATGGAGCAAACCAACCCAAGTGTTAGAAAGGCCATTAGAGCTGGAACATAAAGTGACCCCCAAGAGTTTCACAGGTTGAATATTTGATACTGACCTGGTGGCCTTATTTTGCAAGGTCCTAGAGACTTTAGGAGGTGGGGCCTAGTTAGAGAAAGCAAGTTGCTGGAGGCACACCTTTGGAAGTTGTGCATGGCCTCCAGTCCATTCCTTACCTTCTTCCCTAACCATTGAGAGGTGGAGCACCCCCCCACCACACATCCCCATGGTGCTCTGCTAAGACACATGGGGATGAGCAGCAGGGATGGAACCGTCTGAAGCCCTCAGCAGAAGCCCTTCCTCCTGGAAAGCTGTGTTTTCAGGGCGGAAGAGATGGGTGAGCAGCTAGCTACATGATCCTGCTGCTCTTCCAGAGCACCCGAGATCCATTCTATTCTGGTACCTGCTTTGGGAAGCTCACACGTGTCTGTCACTCTAGCTCCACCAACTGCTGCCTTCTTTTGGTCTATGCAGGTGCAGCCTCCGCCTGGCAGACAGATAACCACACCCCAATAAAAAAAAGAAATCTTGAACTTGTTCTCTCGTGTTGGTCACAATTACACAGAGGCAACCAGAACAGAGGCTGCAGTAAGAAAATGAAGTGTCTGAGTGACACTCTCTCATCTACTCATTGATATAAGATTTTGGAAGGAAAGGGTTTTCTCCAAAGGACAACAGTAACTGTGATAGACAGGGTAGCCATGAGCCAGGTAGAAAAGTTACCAAAGAATGGGCCACGTGATCTGGAGGTGCAAAAGTGGGACCAGACTTGGGAGGGGGTTTTCTGTTGCTCTTTTGCTTAAATTTCCGGCACTGGATGGAAAGCTCTTTTGCTTAAGTTTCCGGCACTCCATGGAACACAAACCAAGAGATTTGTTAACCATGGAGTTTATTATAGGGGGTGGGGAGAAAAGCAAGAGGGGGGCATAGAGAGACAAAGGGAGAGAGGAGGGGTGAAGGGAGAGAGCAAGAGCAGAGAGAGAGGGCAAGAGAGAAGAGCAAGAAAAGAGAGAGGCAAGAGCAGAAAGAACAATAAGAGAGCTTAAGTGGGCAGGGGAGGGGTCTGTCTTTTAAAGGAGTCCTTTGTACCTGTGTGCCAACTGTACTCATGGAACCCTGGGCTGACCAGGGTCACCTGAGTGCATTCTGCCAGGTAACAGGGGCAGGCCAGCATAATGCCTGAACCCTTGCACTTTCCACAGACTGAGTTTGGTAAGTAAAGGGATATGATGTCCAAGAAGCACCACTGAGGAAAAGGGCCCTTCACCCAGCTCTCTCGCTGTGAGAGCTTTCATGACTGTGTGCAGAGGCAGAGGGGACAGAGCCTTTCCAAGAAAGGCTGAGGACATGGGTTGTCTACTGACATTGGTCCACAGTTCCAAGGACAAGGTTTGCACCTGTGAAAGGAACTGGATGACATAAGGGCCAGGCCCCTCTGGACTGTGTCAAAGTAGAGATACAGTTAACCAGAGAAGTACTGAAACATCTTAGCATCTGGACACAGAGAAGCCAAGAATTCAAGATGTCAAGTATAGTGGTCTTAATCTCAGAAGAAAGTACCCTATGGAATCAACTGTTTTGTGCCAGTGTGTGGACTGGTGAGTGTTAAGAGTTGAACCCAGTGCTTCCCACATTCCGAACAAAATTACTCACTGTAAAATGGGAAGGCTGGGGTCCAGATCTGGAGGACCCTTGCCCCTCAATGCTTGAGATCTGAATGCCGCACCAGCCTCAACAAAGACAAACACAGCACTGAGTAACAGGTCCCTGTGTACCGGCTAGTCTCTGCTCAACAGCACCCTCTAGAGGACATAAGTGGATTGGCATATGCTAGCCACCATGCTCCCCTTGGGATTCCCTTCTATTGAGACAAGGTCTGGCCTGGGTAGAAGAATCACTTCTGGGCTCCCATACATCTTAGCTTCTGAACTGCTTGAACTGCTCATGAGCAACCACTAAAGATAACCTGACTAGCAGGATAAACCATAGGTTATTTAAACAAACACACAACAGTTTGTCCCCAACTGCTCACATCTCCGAACAAGGTTGGGAGAATGGTGTTCCTATGAGCAAACAACACAGAGAACATCTAAGTGAGCCACGAATGTGCCGTGGTAGCAGAGCCAGCTCTTAGCAACCATCAGATGCAGACTGCTGATGAGCCAGGGCATGCGGGGAAATAACTACCAACAACAGCTAAGCAGAAGGAGCCATGCTCTCTTCTTCACAAGCTGGGCACCAGGGCACAGTGGGTGGGGGAAGGGCCAGCCAGTCTCCTCTCCTTGCCAGCCTCACACATGGGAGGCACAAGCTGGCCACTAGTCAGGAAAAAGGGAACTATCTTAGGGGAAATATAGCATAACATTTTTCCTTGTTAGCCTGCTCCCACAGTTGGCCCTACCCGGTGTCCTGTTCTGGATTTGAGCTACTTTTATTTAGGAGGGAGATGTTTGCTTCTGTTTTGTTTCCAGACTGAAGGGACAGTGAGGCCATAACTCCAGAGACTGTCAGGGAAGACCAAGAGAGACCCAAGCCCCAACTCAGTTGTGGTACTGGGGTATGGTTTGTGAATGAGAGATGGGAAGGGGAGGGGGATGGTCCTGGAGCTTCCATTGGGTTCTGCATCATGGAACCGGAGCCGTGAACAGATCACCATATGCTGCCAAGCTGGGGCCGTGAATGGATCACCGTGTGCTGCCTACATGAACTAGGCTGTCTGGTCCCTGTGCCCCTATGGGTCCTGACAAGATCCAGAAGATGATGTGGGCAGTCCTCTGTTTCTGACCAGCTGGCTCTCACAGTCAGAAGTATGAACTGTTCATGACAGGCATCCTCATATTGGAAGCCCTTCCTGTGGCTTCCATTTCTTTTCTCTGGGTTGCTGTGAGATAGGACCTACAAGGAACAGAACACAGTCGGTGGGTGCCTAACACATGGCCCCACAGCAGCTCACTTACCATTCCCCTTCTCAAAGTAGGGGAATGTTCTCTAAAGCCAGCCAGGTATCAGTGGTGCAAAAGGGTCACCTGGCTGGCCAGTAAGCAAAGAGAAAGCAATAATGGGTAATGGAGATGGGGAGGCCTGGCCCTAGAGAGAGTCCCCTGATGTGAAGTCCAGCAAGTCAATGCTCACCGTGGGGGACACCCCTGCTCCAAGTCCTGGATGGTGTCCTTCAGGGTCTGGCCCCGTGTCTCAGGCAGCAGAGCACACAGCAGTGCTGCCCCGATGGGGAGGCTGCCAAAGAGGATCATGGGGATCGCCTTGTGGTACTGCTCCAGCAGCATCACCAGCGGTGTGACGATGCCGCCAATCCTGGAGAAGATGCTCACGAACCCCATGCCTGTTTGCCTGGGGGAAGCAGAGCAAGCTGAGGCTCTGGGCACCAATCAGGCTGCACTCACTGCAGAGATGCAAGGACCCAGGTCTCAGCCACCTTTGCCTGCCTAGTGTGCCTGCTTCCTGTACCTGCAAGCCCTCTCTGTCACTCTCCTAGAGACCCAAACGCCTTCTCCACTTCTGAGCACTCCTCTCCTGCACCATGCCTTCACTCTTACTTCTGGTCCTGAGGAGATCACGACATGACCATGTCCATTACCCTCCAGTGTCCTGTGCAACGTGGTGAGTGGCACTGGACTTTCAGTGGCCAAGGCCCATCGGCACCTCGCCGGCTGCCTGTCCCAGGTGGCAGAGGGCCACAGGGATGGGTAGGGTGCCCAGGGCAGAGGACTAATGTCACCCAGGGGTTCTTACCTGACGACAGTGGGGAAGAGCTCAGCCGTGTACACGTAGGATATGGTGAAGGCAGAAGACGTACCTGCTGGGATGAAGATGATAACGACACACATGACACCAGCCAGAGTCAGAGAACCTAACTGGCTCCACTTGCGACCCAGCTTCTCCATCAGGAAGATGCTGGAAAAGCGGGCGGGCACCTCCACTGCTCCGAATATCACCTGTGTCAGGTAGATGTCCAGGCCAAAGTCCCCCACTTGGAGGCCGAGGCCATAGTACACCAGACTGTCCACAAACCTACAAGGTACCCAAGTGTCCTTGTCACTGCTGGGTGTACATCAAGTCACACCACAGGGACAGCCTGGCTTAATGAGCTCACACCAGGGGAAGAGACCACCATATTCACAGAGCCTCTGTCCACCCTCCTAGGACACAAGCCATCCCCAGGCTCTCTCCTCACTGAGGGACAAGGACCTGGGCACTTACCAGACAGCAATGAGAATCAGAGTCACCTTCCTGAGTTGAGGATGTCTGAAAAGATCTAGGGTGTTCCCTGAGGGCCCTGTCTCCTCAGGGACCAGCTAGAAGAAGGGCAGAGTGAGTGGCCGGTTCACAGGCAGAGGTTGGCTTGAGGCAGGGGGGAGGCTGTGCCTGCTTTCAGGTACCTGGCTCAGGAGCTCTGGAGACAGGGGCCGCCTGTTCACTGAGGCTGCCTTCTGGACCAGTTGTTTGGCCTCCTCTATCCTTCCTTGGGAGAGGAGCCACCGTGGAGATTCCGGCAAAACCCTGTCAACCACATCTGGCCCTGAGACCGGGGTCTTGAGCCCCATGTAGCCACCCAGGATTCCAGTGCACACTGAGCCTCCCACTGAAACTCCACAGGCTCCCCCTCTGTGTCCCACACTCTGCCACAGCATTTCCAACACAGGGTGGCCTACCACTGGCAAGGGGCTCCCTACCAGAAGTAGAAGAAGAGCAGGAAGACTGGTGCAGTGCCTATTATCTGAAATAGTCTCCAGTTGCGGACACCATAGGCCAAGCCAGCTAACACCATTAGTCCAAAGCCAATATTGCTCTGGGCCAGGACCATGGCTCGAGTTCTCCAGGACGGCCCCACCCATTCTGAAACTGAGAACAATGGATTTGAATGAGCCAGTGAATGCCCACTCTCCTACCCCCGGCGATTCCCAAATGCCAGCCTGTCAGAGATGTGACTCAGTGCCAGTACTGAGAACTTTGCTGTGACCTTTTTAGGTGCCCTTGACTGACACCATCCCCACAGATTACGGGGCTCTAACTCTACGGAAGAAGGCGCTGGGACGCAGATACTCACGGAGGACATTGGTAGTTAGTAAAAATCCAGCGATAGCAGTGGCCAAGACAAAGTACAGGGCCATATACAGCTCAAAGCTGCGCACAAAGGCGGTGGCCACACCTGTGGTGGCAGAGAGAAGCAGCTGCACCAGGAGGGAGGGTCTTCGGCCAATCCTGAGTTAATAGAGGGACACATTGTGAAGTGAGGAGGCCTTCCCAGAACTGACTCAAGGGAGATCCAGGCAGGCCTGTCCTCGGCTCTCTGTCAGAGGGAGGAGATAGGGTCTTCCACGGAGCCCCATTAGAAGGCAGCCTGAGGCAGTCATCTTCGTGACTGACAAGGCTCCAGGGAGATAACTGAGTCAGAACCAGGGGTGTAAAGGATTCGGCTCAGCAGCACCTACCAGTCACAGACGGGCCCAAAGACGAGGGCCCCGATGAGGAGTCCAGCCATGAACACAGACTGTGAGGTCCTCTTCAGGTTCTCCCGATCACACACCAGGTCAAACTGAGGCAGAAAAATACTCATGTAAAACCAAATGCAGCATCCAGTTCCAATTTCACCATCTAGGGCCCCACCTTTCCCACAGTGTGAGCCAAGGGACCTCACAGTCAGCACAGTGGACATGGGATAGTTAAAAATCTAAATTGAAATATCATAGCAGTCTTTGAATTCTGTCCAATATCAATCACCACTTGTCCACAAATTCACAGTTCAACATTGGGTACACTTTTTTGACAGTTTGACAATTGCTTTTCTAAAAGGTAAATAACGCAGTTCTGCGTGAATCCAAAAGTGGTGGTGGCAGTGTTGGAGGACCAGGAAGCTGTGCCCCTGCTTCCTAACAGACGTCCTTTTCATGTCTCATTCTTCCAAAGAACTAAATATAGTATTTTTCTTTCTGTTGCTATGATTAAAAAAAAATGACTAAAAGCAAGATGGTTTTATTTGGTTAATACTCCCAGGTCATAATCCCTTGCTGAGGGAAGTCAGAGCAGGAGCAGAGGCAGGAATCACAGTGGAAGGCTGATGACTGGCTCACTCACTGGCTCATGCTCAGCCCAAGACCCCTGAAGGCAGAGTTTAAATGAGTCCACCAGACCCAAGATAAATGATGAATAGGTGTTTACTAGGGAAGTACTTATACAGATAAGAGTAAATAACCACCGAGGGCTTCCGGCTCGAGAAGATGCAGTCTCTGCCATTCCAATGCTTGAAGTGACCCAAGAGAGCAGGAGCAGAGCCCTCCTCTACCTTACAATGAGTCAGGTTTGCACCTGAAGCCATGCCCAAATGGTGTGGCCAACACCACAAGTTCACTGGCAAGGCGAGATGGCACTACAGACCACCTGCTCAGGAATAGAACCACCCAATATGTATTGGGTTCCCCACATCAATCAACCAACACAGACTTACAGACATGGCCCCAGGTTGGTCTGACCTAGGAAATTCCTCAACCAAGGAAGTTCCCTCTTCCCCAGTGACTCGAGGTTGTGAAGTTGACAATAAATTAACCAGCACAGTGTGTATTCAATTTTTCATTTGTTTATTTTGAGGCAGGGTGTCATGTAGCCCTGGCTGTACTCAAACTCACTTTGTAGGCAGGATAGCCTTGAACTCCTCATCTTCTACCTCCCAAGGGTGGGATTATAGGTCTGTGTCACAATGCCAGTTCTGTGTATTAACTTTTAAAACAACTACTCATTAGGGAAAAAATACTATTCAACTATTTGGACTTAATCCTTAATACATAGAACTGGTGAATATTTCTTCTGGCATAGAGAATACATGTAGAATCCCTGAAACAATAAGAATGTAAAATTTGGAAGCTTCTAACAGACCTCTAATAGCTGCTTCCTGGCAAACAACCCGTCTCCTGTGTAAGCTACTCGGGCCCTCCCAAGTTTCACATGTGGCTGTCCAGTTACTTTCAAATGCCCACAATTTGATGGTACAGACAGGTACATATGCACACAAGGAGTCAGAAGAGGAATACAGATCCCCTGGAGAAAATGTCAAGCCATCTAGAGATAGGCCAACCACACCAGGAATGCCAAGCAGAGAAAGTCTGTGCATCCACGGATCCCTGCATACAGGTCTACTACACACATGCTGGCCCCACCCTTCCAGGCTGTGGCCCTGAGTGCGGGTTCTGTGCCCTTGTATGGGTCAGCCCTTTGCATGAATGCTTAGGTGGGAACCCACCCTGTGAGGGCTCTTCCAGCATCACAACCATTCACTCACTGTGTGCCAGCAAAGAGAGGGTTCCTAGCGAAATATTCATGGAAAGAATGGGGATATGGGGATAAAGGTACACACCACTCATGCCTGGCTGCCTTTCTCCCTGTAATTAGATGGCACAAGTGTGAACTCGGTAGGCAATGATGTTGCATCACAATGTCAAAAGGTGTTTCTTCAGGCAACCAAGTTGACAATCAAAACTAACCATCCCTAAGACTGAAAAGAGCTGTCTTTCACCTTTTCATAATTGCTATCCCAAATTGAACAAAAGGACCCTGTGGTGGCATCTTGCCTTGCCAGTGACCTTGCAGTGGCTACATCCTAGGGGCGTGGCTTCAGATGTATATAAGCGACCCCTTATACGGAAGAGGAGGGGCCAGCTGGCTCTCTTGGGTGGTGATCAGAGCATTGGAAGGGCAGAGGCTGCATCTTCGGGAGCAGGAAGACTCGGTGGTTGTTTACTGTTATCTGTGTGAGTGCTCCCTACTAAATACCTGTCTATCATTTATATTGGGTCTGGTGGACTCATTTAAAGCTGCCTGGGATGGTTAGAAATGCTTGGTCCAAAGTCAGATGGCAGCATGTAGAGGTGACATGTGACAGCATGTAGAGGTGGTATGAGTCAGCATGCAGAGGTGGCATGTGACAGCATGCAGAGGTGACATGTGACAGCATGTAGGGGTGGCATGAGTCAGCATGCAGAGGTGGCATGCGACAGCATGCAGAGGTGACATGCGACAGCATGCAGAGGTGACATGCGACAGCATGCAGAGGTGACATGCGACAGCATGCAGAGGTGACATGCGACAGCATGCAGAGGTGACATGCGACAGCATGCAGAGGTGACATGCGACAGCATGCAGAGGTGACATGCGTCAGCATGCAGAGGTGGCATGCGACAGCATGCAGAGGTGGCATGTGTCTATTGCTGTATGCACAGAATGAAACCACTCGAAGGTGAAGAGAATGTTTGCAGGAAATGGGTTAATGAATAAGGGAACTAAAGCTTACACCTAGCTGGCTGATCATCAATTAAATGACTTAGCAAGAAATTAACAATCCCGGAGTTGCTGCACTCACACTTCTCAAGGGCAGCATTCCTTCTGAAGGACTTGCGGGACATGTGGCATGGTGTCCTAACTTCGGGTGGATGAAGCAAGGCAAGACAGGAAGCTCAACTGTTCTCCCCAGTTCTACACAGCTTGGGTTTTTGTCTAGAGGCTAGAGATTACATCAATCAAGACACCACTTAAAAGGAATGCAATAGATGGGGTCCTGCGGCCACCAGACTCCACCGTCACAGCTAAATGGCTTTGTGTGACCTTCAGCCTGTTAGCCAATTTGCTTGTTTCTTGTTCTCCATTTGTGCAAAAATGGGGATAAAATAGACTCTGTGGTGTTTCCCAATACGATCAGGACATCTATAAAACCTCTAGACCAGTGGCTATAATGCAGGAAGCTCCCAGTCCGGGTTGGCTAGGATGACTGTGAGATGTGCCTGTGGCCACAAAGCTATTGGGGGTACTGAGCCACAGATACTTCCAAGTCTGCACCATTTACCTCCTCCCCTTAGTTTATATCCGTTGTAGCCTAAGTCCTTGGGAAAGCTTATCACTGCAAATTCAGGAGCAACACCTGAGACTGGCAGGCCCTGTCCCCATGTGCTCAGTCTCAAGCAGAGCTGTCAGACAGCAAGGAATGAAGGGATCCAACTTGGCACACGGGTCATCACCCTCTTTGTGTTTTAACACATACGGCGCAGTGGTTCTGCTCAAAGCCCTGTGGCAGCCTACAGAATTCCACTCGGATGTCTTAAAGCGCATCCCACCATGTCCCTCTCCATTCCCTAACCTTCAGTGGCTCTCGTGGGTTTCTAGGAGAAAGCTCCAACTCCTTAGCACTGCCCCTAAGACCTTTCAAGAGCCAGCTCTTAGCTATTTACCTGATACTTTTACGCCAGCATCCCTCAACTGTGCTAGGCATTTCATGCCTCCAGACCTTTAAAAAAAGGCTGCTCTTCCTGCTTTTCCTTCCCTCCCATCCAGATGCCTCTGGTCCTTGGACAAATCATACTGCTGTGGCTCACTGACAGTGGGCACACTTGTATTCATCAGCTCATGTGGACAGGGCAGCCAGGCATGTTTGCATTTTACTGAGGCTAGGTTTCCAGGTAATGTTGCAAAGGTACATTGAGAAGGGGAAATACCTTCAAGGGCATACAATCTATCAGAAAACATGCTCTCTTCAAATCAGTGTGGTTTATGTTTCCATTTGAAAAGGAAGCCACTGGCTATAGGAAATTGCCTTGTCTTGGTCTGCAGAGCCCTTCCTTGTGGAGTGCGGCTCTGGAACAGAGCTTGGGATTACCACGTGGAACAGCACACACATTTCCAAAGGTGGCAAAGGTGTACATTCCCTGGAGAGTCTGAGGTAGGAGGTAGCCTGTGAGGTGGACAGGCTACCCAAGGGCTAGCCTACCCAGCACATGCTAAGTTAATGTCTAAGGATAGAGAGAGGCCTCTGAAACCAGGTGTTGGAGCACACACCTTTAATCCCAGCACTCGGGAGGCAGAGGCAGGTGGATCTCTGTGAGTTCAAGGTCAGCCTGGACTATAGAGAGTGTTCCAGGGCAGCCAGGGCTACACACAGAAACCTTGTTTCAAAAACAAAACAAATCAAACAAACAAAAACAGAGATAGACAGAGAGAGACAGAGACAGACAGAGAGAGAGAGAGAGAGAGAGAGAGAGAGAGAGAGAGAGAGAGAGAGAGAAAGGAGAGAGAGAGATGGGGGGCTCTGAGTGGTCAATACCTTGGTGAAGAAACTCAGGCAAATGTCAAATGTAAAGTGAATACAAACAAGTTCAGGGAAGCAGACAGCTCTAGTTTGCTTTCTGGTGCTGTGATAAACACCATGACCAAAAACTTAGGGGAGCACAGGGTTTATTTCAGCTTACAGGTTACTGCCCCTCATTGAGGAAAGCCGAGTCCGGAACTCAGGGCAGCACCATGAACCAGAAAGGGAACAAGGTTGCATGCTAGCTGCTCCCAGGCACTCTGCTACCTTTCTTACACAGCCCAGGACTGCCTCCTAGAGGTAGTACTGCCTACAGGGGGCTGGGTCCTCCTACATAAACTGGCAATAAAATATGCCCCACAGACATGTCCACAGGCCAATTTGACCTGGGCAATTTCTCCACTGAGGATTCCTATTTCCAGGAGAATTTCATTTGTGTCAAGGTGACAATAAAACCAGACAGGACACACCTATCATTAAGCTATGACCTTCCTTTCTGGTTTTTCCCCAAGATCTTACGACAACATCATAATATAAAACACAGGACAACCTTAAAACTCCCTCAGTCTTTAAAAGAATTCCAGGGCTTGCTTTATTTATTTATTTATTTATTTATTTATTATTCCAGGGATTTATTTATTTATTATTTTGGTTTTTCCAGGCAGGGTTATTCTGTATTCCTTTGGATCCTGTCCTGGCACTCGCTCTGGAGACCAGGCTGTCTTCAAACTCACAGAGATCTGCCTGCTTCTACCTCCCGAGTGCTGGGATTAAAGGCGTGCACCACCAATGCCCAGCTAATTCCAGGGTTTTAAAAGTTCAATGTTTCTTTGAAAATTTAAATTCTCTCAACTGTGGGCTTAGGTAAAATTTTAAAAAAAAGTTATATCTTTCCTTACTTCCCAAAGAGAGGAACCAGGACATAGGAATAATCCTACAAATCGAAGCCTAAACCCAGCAGTGTAAGGAACTGGATATTAAACATCTGGAACTCACTTGTGAATTTCTGGGCTCCAAGTGGCTTGGGAAGGCCCACTCCCCCTGGCTCTGCCATCCAAAACATACACTGCTAGACTAGTCTTGTAGGCTCAGGCTGGCTCCACTCCATACATACTGCTGTCCTTGGTGGTCACCCCCATGCTCCTGGCATTGTCAATATTCTGAGGTCTCCTCTGAAACTGAGGCTGTTCCTTTGCCGATGGCTTCCCTTGGCCTTTCTTCTAGGATTCTAACTGTACCTCAGTGTGCCACTCGTCAACTTCTTTCCATGACCCCTTCAGTCCTGGGGTCTCCACTGTAGCTGAGGCTAACCTACACTGCCGACTTCTCCAGGATTCTCTTTAGAGACTCCAATACTGCCACATGGTTCCAGGCTTGAGCTGCTCATCCTGACCCCCTCAGTCTTGCATCTCTCATGCCTTCAAAACCAGAACCACACGGGAGATTCTTACATATTGCTAAGATCATCTACCAGCTTGAGATGCAGCCATGCCCCACCCCAGACCATAGATAGCTTCTGTGTGCTGACTCTGAGGAATTACTTTCCAAAAGAATTCACCTCAGTGATGATGGTCTCTGTTACTCATAGTTGATTTTTCAGTCCCAGCTGACCAGCCTCCATTGCCCCAGTAAAGCAAAGGTTTCGTTTCCACACATTCTTAATCTAACATGACGAAAACACAATCGTTTTGCTTCCCTGAGACCTCACAAGCCATGTACCACCACCTGTATTTCTCTCAGCATTATCTTCTAAGATTCCACAGAAAAACCCACTAAGCTCTGAGCACTTGGTGGTTTTTCCACTTAAAGTATCAAAATCTTCCGCAATCCCCAAAACAACATAGATAGGTCCAGGCCAGCAACAATCCTATCCTGGTAACAATTTTGCTTTTCTGTGACCAGAAACGACTTGTGGAGAAAATAGCTTCCTTGGTCATAGGTTACAGTTGGTAACCAAGAGAAGTCAAGGCAGGAATCTAAAGGTAAGACCTGAAGCAGAGACCATGGAGAAGTGATGCTAATTGGCTTGCAGGCCGCCTCCTCCTTATACGGCTGAGGCCAACCAGCCTAGGAAAGGGTTCTTCCCACCGTAGGCTGGGTCCTCTCACATAATAAGTCATCAAGAAAATGCCCCAGAGATATGCCCAAAGGCTGATCTGACCTAGACAATGGATCAATAAAGGGGCCACAGACCATCAAGCAAGTTGTTTTAAGCAACTGTATCATTGTCTCCCAACATCCAATATGAAACCTCAGTCTCCATTGTGAGGACATGCTGTTTTCTCCTTCTCATTGGCTGTGTGAGCGTGCCTGTGTGTGTGTGCACATGTGCATGCCATAGCATGTATGTGGAGATCACAGGACAAGTTACAGGAGTTGGGTCTCTCTGTCTGTCCTGTGGGTTGAGTCACCAGGCTTGGAGACCTGCTGAGCCATCTTGCTGACTCTGTGCTGGCCATTTTTGGTATCTGTGCAGTTGAGGACTGGTGGAGAGTCACAGAATCCTGCCACGTTTGGTGATCTAGGACAAGAGGGCTATGAGGGACAGTGGTGGCTGAGTACCCGAAGACAGGAGTATTTCAATGACCTCTTTGTGCTCATTTAAAACTGTGAAAGAAAAGGCGTCTGTCACTGTCCAGTTGTTTTCTTGATTTTGAGGATCCAGACTGATCTTAGGGATGACCCCTCAGATTGAGAAGCTTGTCAAGAAGGCATAGAAGGCCATCACAACAGAGATTTCTCAGAAGCTGGCCCTTCCCGAACAGTGTTGAGCACACGGAGACTATTCTGAGGCCCATGGAAAGATCCAGCCTGTGCATCTGTGGTAAGCAAGCAGCAATGCCTGGGAGCCTGCAGGGTCAAAGACAGGCTTCTGGTGGACACTGTCATTTGACAATGATTCCATTTGACTGTCACCTGTGAGCACACCCAGGGTTTGATGGACTCATTAAAGCAGATGGCTCCGGTCCTCCTGCCCCTCCCTTTTCCCAAGAGGTTCTGAATGGCTACCTTTCAATGGAATCTGTGGCTACTTGCTGTTGAGAGAGAGAAGTTATCTTTTAACTTCTTTCACTGATAAATGAAGAAAAGGATTAAACTTTTTCAAACAACAAATGTAGGCTGTCACGATGGCTCATGGGGTAGACACTTGCTACCAACTTGAAGACCTGAGTTCGTTCCCCAAAACTCACATAGGAGGAGGATAGATCTGGCTTCTTCAAGATGTTTATCTGACCAAACACGAGCTGTGACCACTACACACACACACACACACACACACACAGTAAATAAATGTAATTTAAAAAATAAATGCATCAGGGGCTGGAGATACGGCTCAGCAGTGAAGAGCACTGGCTATTCTTGACTCCCAACACCCACATGGAAGCACAAAACCACCTATAACTCCAGCTTCAGACTCTGACGCTGTCTTCTGGCCTCTACAGGTACCACACATGCATTTGGTACACACACAAGTAGGCAAATGCCCATACATGTAAAATACTAAAACAACTTAAAAACAAAGATACACCAAACAGATTGAGCCCATGATTTTAATGGTTGCTCCCTTCAGTTGTTTGTCGAATGTGTTCAGTGTAGACTTAGAACCTGACAGTGAGGAGCCCAGCTGAAGGTTGGGGACAGAGGAAACTGAGGGACAGTGCTAGATGAAGGGTCAGTAGGAGACTCTTGTGTTCTTTCAGGCCATGAGGAGTCAGGCCTTCTGCCAGGCTTTGGCTGGGTGAAATTACATAGTTGTTCAGCACATACAGAAGACAAGAACTAGAGAAGACTCAGAGCAAACTGGAAGATTCTCTGGGCCTTGAAGATGCTGCTGTTTGGCCAGCTGGGCAGAGCAATTCAGTGCAATTGTAAGTAAACACCAAATTTTGAGGGATTTGTCAAGTTCAGAAAGTACTACATGGTGATGCCAAGGAGTCATGGAGAGGCCTAGAGTCTTCCATGCTAGGCTGAGCTAGATCCAGTAATTAGAAGTGTCCTCAAGTCACCTAGCTCCCCTGGGTGAGGGGACAGGGTGACAGAGTGAGGAGAATTACAGCAAGGACATACCCCCAGACACGGAAGGATTACAGTCCATCCAGAAAGTGAATGTTTCACTTTGGTTAAAACATTGTCTCCAGAGGCTTCTAAAAATGAATGTTTTTTCCAAGCATGTGTGTGTAGGGAGTATGAATGTTTAATCTGTGTGACTGAGACCTACAGCCATAAACATGATGAGAAAGCAGAGACCCCCTCAAGAGTCCACATCCCCAGGTTTCTGGACTCTCCATATGTGTGAGCCAACATGCCTGGGTTCTGGACTCTCCACGTGTGCGAGCCCACTGGGCTGGGTTTCTGGACTCTCCATGTAGCTCTCATGCTGAGAAGAGAGGCAGAGCTGGACAGTGGGAACCCAGAACAGCAGCCTGGCTCTGCAACCAGCTTCCTATCATGGCTGGGCTAAGTCATCTCCTCCTTCCACTCTGACACAGACTGCTTTCCGAGGGGCCCTGGGACTCTGGGACAGCTGAGAAGAAGGAACCCATGCTGGGGAAACAGGAAGGCAGAGGGGAGGGTGACGTTAGACAGGAAGACGACATTAGACATGTAGGGTTAGAAGTCTCTGGAATAAGTTAACTCAAAGCTGGGCAGACTTGCAGAGGTGCTCTGAAAGACTAAGTGACCGGTGGATACAGATAAGTGGGGGCAGAAACAAAGGCAAAGTGGCTGGGCGTGTGGTGTAAACCTCTCACATGGGCGCTGTGGATCCAGACTTTGCAAGCACTTTCCCCACTGGGCCATCACCCGATCTCTTGCCAATTTTTATGCGTGTGATATTTTTAAGGGCATTAAACAAATAAACAACACAGTCTGAAAGAGTTATGAACCATCTGGTCCCTGTGGCCCAGACCCCTTCTTTAATGCACCAGTGATGAATTCATTTCCCAGACACCATCTATTGCCCAAGACCAGGCATCCTTCTGTTTTCCTTCTCTGTAAAATACTTCTCTGTCAAGAGTTTATGGGAACCTTGGTGCCAACAGGTTCACAAAAGGACAGTCAATAAATGAAACACCGATGGAAGACAAGCAAAACAGACAGAAAATCAGAGAGATGGGCCAACAGACAGAGGACAAAGAGAAACACAGATGACCAGAAAAGGGGGAACAGGCAACAGATGGCTACATACAAGCCTATAGACAGGAACAGGCCACAGAGGGCAAGCGAAGCCACAGAGTAGCAGGAGACCCCACACAAGTGGGCACACAGACAACATGCAATCCCACCTCGTTCTTTAGGGACGGAGGCCTGTTCTCAGGATAGTCCCAGCCTGAGTCGCAGGCCTGTGTCTCATTGAAGCGGTGGCTGAGGATCTCTTCCAGGCTGGCATTGACAGGGGGTGGCCGGTACATGAGGCAGGACTCAGGTCTGCCTGCTGTGTCATTGGGTATGCTCAAGGCCAGCTGTTCAGCAGCACTTAGGTTCAGAGAGTGGTTCTTGACCCAGGACACTGAGCAGTGGTGGGCCTCGTCAAGGACCATGAAGACCTGACTAAACACGAAGAATGCAGACAGCAAATTGAGGATGCCCATCAGGATGGTTACCCGGGCCTGGAAGCGACCAAAGTCGCCCACTGCAGCCAAGACCTGTGCAAAGTGAGCCATGACTTCTGCTCACTCCTTAGTCTAGGAACACCAGGCAGGTCTGGGACTTGGCTTTGGAGTGCTGGCTGCTCTGGGTTGTGGTGACAGCTGCATTAATGTTTAACCTAGTCTTGCTGAGCCCTTCCTATCACACCTCTTCTCCAAGCTGCAGCCCAAGGAGGTGTTAGGGTTTGACATCTAAATGCATTCCTTCAAAGGTCTCACCTGTGGAAAGCTTGGTGTCCACTGGGTGGCACTACTGACAGGAAATGCAACCTTTAGGAGGTGAGGGATTTAAGGCATGCCATTGGAGGAGATACTGCAGCCCCCACCCCCACACCCCGTCTTTCTCTATCCCTGTGCTTCCAGAATACCAGGGTAACGTGGTTACGGAACACAGGCAGTTGGCAGAAAGAGCTATCCTTACAAATGGTTTTACGAACTTCCACATAAAAACTTCACAAAAGCTTAAAAAGGGATTTTAGAAGAAAAAGAACAGAGACAAGCACGACTTTTTGGTAGCAGCATTTTCTCAGGTGGTCTCTGTTTTGCAAGAGACAAGCAGAGACTTGAGAAACTCCCTTAAGGGAGGTTTCATGATTCAGCATAAGCAGAAAAAAAATGCAGGGCTCTTTTAAGAGGCCCTCTAACAATTGAATGGTGTGTACAAGCAGCTGGCAGTGGCAGTGAACCACATCTCCAAGCTGGCAGCATAGACCAGGAAGTGAGCACAGCTGGCAGTGCTGGAGGTAAATGTACCCCTGCCATCTTGGAAAGACAGCGGCTAAAACATGGCTTTAGTATTAGCAATGTTGTTTAGGAGATAAAAGGCTCGTGGCCAGAAAAAGATAAAGATACAGAGTAAAAACAGATTCAGAGGGAAAAAGTAAAACCTCTAAAGGTTTACAATGTATTAAAAAAATATATGTAGGCTTGTGAGAGCAAAGAAACAGGATAAAGTAATTGGAAGGAAGGAAGGAAGGAAGGAAGGAAGGAAGGAAGGAAGGAAGGAAGGAAGGAAGGAAGGAAGGAAGGGTAGCTGTGCGGTGGTGGCACACGCCTTTAATCCCAGCTCTCTTTTGGGAGGCAGAGGCTGGCAGATCTCTGTGACTTAAGGCCAGCCTGCTGTATAAAGTGAGTTCAAGGGCAGCCAAAGTTACACAGAGAAACCCTGTCTCATAAAAGGAAAAAATAAAAGTAAAAGAAATAGAGTAATGAAAAAGCCACCTAAAGATAGAAAATACTCACATAGTCTGGATACTCTGTTATACTGTTGTCTTTAAATTGTTTGATTGCCAAGGAAAGAGCTACAGCTGATAAAATACATTTCATTATAGGTGCTGCTAACAATTGAACTTATATATTTTTAAAATGCTTTGACTTCTACATTTAAAAATAAGGACAGGTCACTTGGGAAAAGAGTTTTTGCTTGTGTTTCCACAGAAAATGGAAAGCTGTGGATCCTTTCCGACTAATATGGTTTGATGATGCAAGACCCCCTGAAACAGTAGCCCAGGTGATCCAACATCTAAAACTGCTGAGACGATACAGTCTTACAGACTACAAAAACAAGGACCTGGCCAGGTTTCTGTGTTTTATCATGATCCCCATGTTATGGACATTGCCCCCAACCAGCAGGAAGCACTTTGGAATGAGCGAAATTCCCAAATATTATTTATAAATGTTTGTTTTCATTTAAATGTGGTTGGTTATAAATGGTAATGATCACAGTCAATTTCTATTTAAAGAAAAAGGGGGAATAGGATATAGAACTGAATACCCTACATTGGTATGGATTTTCATTTATTCATACAAATTTAAGGTTAATTTTGTTATATGTAAATTTCTCCTCTTGTTTGGTATTGTGTTTATACAGATCTTTTAAAATGTAATGCATAATTAAATACAGATTGTATATAGTTAGGTATAATAGTCAAAACTTACAGTTAGGTTAGTTAGGTTTTCTAGATATATAGAGATGTATTTGAGATGGATAGATATCCTTCAAACTTTTCAAAGACCCACAGAATATATGGCATTTAAATGGTTTAGGGTTTTTCATGGCAGTCAGACAAAACTGCTCCTGCAAAACCAAAACTCACCTAAGGATTCAGAAAGAAAAACCAACCTGAAGCTATAGAGATCAGGCAGTGGTGGTACAGACCTTTAATCCTAGGACTCAGGATTATAAGGTAGACGGATCTCTGTGACTCCAGGGCCACCCAGATCTACACAAGAGTGATCGAGTCCTAAAGAGAAACTGCTCACACAAGGAAGATCTCAGCACCAGGGATCACATGCCTTTATTCCCAGCACTACAGGGGGAATAAAAGACAAGAGCAAGGCCTTCAATAGCATCAGCATTCATGCTCCAGTCCCATTGAGGACAGGAAGACACTGAAGTCTCAGGATCCCCCAGGCACATTGAGGAGTCTGGGATTACAGTCTGAGGTTTGATAAAGCTAGGATTGCCTTTCAACCTGAGATAGAGGTTAAGAGCTAGTAACTGGCTGCTTTGCCTTTTTGATCTTCAGATTGAAGTTTGAACCGCAATATACGACTGTGTGTCTTTGATTTTTTGTGTCACACCCAGGACCTCTTGGTTCTAGCTGTCTAAGTCACTGTTCTGTTGCTGTGAGGAGGCACCATGACCAAGGCAACTCTCACAAAAGAGAGCATTTGGTCATACTTGCTTATACTTTCAGAGGTTTAGTCGATTTCATGACAGGAAGCATGGCAGCAGACAGCCAGGAAAGGGGCTGAATATTTACACCATGACCTACAGGTGTAGGGGGAGGAAGATAGATGGATACTGGCCCTGGCAAGGACTTTTGAAAACTCAAAGCCCAGCCCAGTGATATAGTCTTCCTCCAACAAGGCCACACCTTTCTAATCCTTCTCAGAGTTCCACTGCCTGGTGACCAAGCATTCAAACATATGAGCCTGTGGGAGCCATTCATAGGCTAGGTGAAAACTGTCCACTATGAACTATAAATCCGAAATCTGGACTGGAGAGACTTCTGTCCCTATGATTGAGATCTGAATCCAATACCAGCTTCAACAATGCCAACCATACTGCTGAGCAGCAGTCCGATGGCTATCATGTCTCCAGAGTCCAGGCTATTCTCTGTCCAATGAGAGCCTGCTGAGGACAAGTATGGCTTCCCACATGCTAGCCATATCTTTCCCTATAAAGACCCTTCTGTTGTGCTCATCAAAATCCAGACAAGAACACACTATGGCATCACATTTCTAGAGAGATGAGAACCAACATCTACCCCACAATCACCATGGCTAGAACAGAGAAATGATCCACCCAAATCCACCTTGATAAACCAGGGAGTTCAGTGGTTTATTGACCCAGTATGCAGGAGGTGTTACAGTGGTGTGGAAGACCTTCAACAGCTGCACACGGAAAAGTCCAATCCTAGATGAGAGATAACCTAAAAGCTGCCCCTACTGTGTGAACCTTCACCCTTCTGCAAACTCTAACAGTTCCCAAGGCCACAAACTTCTTGGACAGATTACATAATGCTAGATGAAGGGAAGAGGCATGTAGAGGCTGCAATCTCAGGTCAAGGTCTATTGAGCCTCCCCAACCTCTTTATTTCCAAACGTAAATGGGGCCTCCCTTGTCATGTCTCATGCTGGGAATCAGATGCTCTGGTGTGACCGTGCCATGCCTAGAGGACACAAGCACAGGCTTGATGGCCTTCAGTTGGCTGCTGATAAGACAGGCCTGAACCTAACAGAACAACAGGACCAGGACATTTCTGAGTCCACCCACTTGGGCTGCCATGATGACCTTAGGCAGCCCCGCCCCTCTGCCCGGAAACTTCTCACTTGGGCTGCCTCTTCTTTGTGTCTGCTGCTTTCTTCCCCTTCACAGTTATCGTCAATGGCCACTAAAAGCCTCCTGGGAAGGCATCTAATGTGCTGCGGGGTCTCATAACCTTTCTGAAACCTTGCTGCAAGCCTCTGTGACCCTTCCCTGCTGTATCTTTTGTTTACAGAAGAGGAACCATGCATCTGATGCTGTTCTGCCCCTTGGATGACAGTTGCTCTTTACAGTGGCCTCTGAGTGCTCACCCTGAGAGAAACATTCACTTAGTTGTTTTTGAACAGGGGAACTCCTGCAGCACCACTCCCAGTCAGGCTCTTCCTGTGAATGAACTTGTATTTTCAAAAATTGCCGTTTTTCATAGGTGTGGACTTATCTTTGAAGAGCACCTTTTCTACTGTCTCGGTAAAGGGCGTGGCCTTCTCTTTAATGGTGCTAATTCCTCTATTAATTACGGTGCTTTGCCTGCAATTTTTTATCTACAACTTCAAATTGCTCACACTACATTCTCAACAAAGTTCAAGTTGCTTATCTTTCTGCTCTCTCACACTGTAATCTCCATACATAAGCAATAACCATATCATAGCCTGATAGTGTATACTGGCTGGAATCCTTGGAAAGAAAAAGGGGGGGGGTTTGCATTCAGCTTCACTCAAATTCTTTTTTTTTATGTTGTTGTTGCTTTTTGTTTGTTTGTTTGTTTTGTTTTTCAAGACAGGGTTTCTCTGTGTAGCTTTGGAGCCTATCCTGGCACTTGCTCTGGAGACCAGGCTGGCCTCGAACTCACAAAGATCTGCCTGCCTCTGCCTCAAGAGTGCTGTAATTAAACAAGTGCGCCACCAATGCGCGGCTTCACTCAAATTCTTGGGAGATGGAAGGCACCCAAATTCTTTGACAGAATACATCATCAACGGCATCCAGCCCAATTCCCAGTTGAGTCCTTGTTCCCTTTGAAACCTCTTAGGTTGAATGAGACTACTCTCAGCATTTTTGTCTTCCAAGCTCCTAGCAGAATGGTCCATAGTGCTGTGCTTATAGGATTTTAGAAATCCTTTGGCCCAAAGTATCAAACTCCTGTATTCCTCCTGCAAACTATTTCAAGGCCTAAGAATTGTACCATCAGGTTTATCAAAGAAAGCCCCAACTTTGCGTCCCTTTGGGGAATATTATTTGGCATACATGTTTCTCTTATTGGTTAATGAAGAAAAAACTGATTGGCTGATTAGCCAGACAGGAAGTCACATAGCTAGGCAGAAACTTGCTACTAGCTAACCACACAGGTCTGGAGGTCTGTACAGGTAGACAGAAAGTGATGTAGCTTGGAAGAACCAGGATATAAGAGAGGAAATCTCTCTCTTCTCTTTGGAGATGCTGAGCAGTCATCATATAGTAGGCAAAGGATTTGCAGGTGTGGCATTCTCCTGTAAGCCAAGACCTCATGGAATTACATAGATTAGTAGTTATGGTAGGCATCAGCCAACAGATTCATAGTTAATATAACATCTGTGTGCTTCCTTGGGGCTATGAAGGGCAGTGGGACCTGCTGGTCCAGAAAACTTACATCAGCAGGACTGGATTTTCTCTGCTGCTTGTCTCCTTTTTGCGACAAAATACTCAAGAAAGTAAAGGTAAAGAGGGCGAGGAGAGAATTCACACTGGCTCACAGTTTGAGGGTGCAGTTCCATGCAGGGAGTCATGGAATCAATGCAGGAAAGTCATTATGGCAGGAAGTAGAGTTGACTTCCGCTACTCAGCTCCCTTTCCTAATTTTTATTTATGTATTCTGGGAGCTAAGCCAGCAGGATGATGTTGCCCTCATTGAGGAAGGGCCCCCCCTCAGTTAAACTCCTGAGAATACCTTCAGAGACACACACAGTTTTTCCATTGTGACTCAAATCCAGTCAGGTTGACAAGGAAAATTAAACATTACACAAGGAAAATACTTCTCACCAAGAAACGGAAAAGGTTATGACTACAAAGACCCCCCAAAAGGCAGGTCTGGGAATACAGTTCAAACAACAAAAACAAAAGCAACAGAAAATCCTTGTAATGTTGCTGTATCAATAAAGGAAGCCTCCAAGTCTTTCCCCAGGAAAGACAATACAGCCAAGGAGAGAGCACACACATAATCACATCACTATGTGGTGAGATACCCACCCCCCCTCCCAGTAGTGTTGACCAGGCCCTTTGGCCATAGTCACAGGTGCAAAGTGATGGAGAGTGGTTTTAGTTCTGGGGTCTGGGCATAGATGGCTCTCTCTTGGTTCCGGTCAGATCACGGAGAGCAACCTGTGTGGATCCTTGGACAGGGAACTTGTGGCAGTCGTCAGTTTGCTGTGTGAGTGCCTTCTTCCCGAATAAAATGATATTAGCCCCTATTGAGCTAAGTCCAGTGAATCTCGATTGATGCTTCTGTATCATTCAGAGAAGGAAACAGCAGCAGTCTTGAAATGCACTCTCCCATTTTGTAGGTTCTCTTTTTATTAAAGGACCACATCATGAAACTACGGATGGTAGCGGGAGGACGCTGAAGAACACGTTTGTCCATGACTTCAAAAATTAACAGTACTAAATATCTATGACTAGAGGAGCGATGCCCAGGCACAGCAACGCTCATGTCCACCCTGACAACAGAAGGCCACCAGGTGTGAAGGGGGAGGGTTCTCAAAGAATCTGTGACACTCTGGACACCTTGCATTGTGTCTTGGGTCCAGCTGAGACAATGTGTGAAAACTGGTGGGACAATGAAGAGGCGGCACCAAGGAGGAGGCTGCCACCATCGGTGCCCTAAACTCTGGCTTGTGCTGTGGTCTCTGACATGCTGACAGACATATGCATATGGGTATCCATGGGACAGACACAGTCAAAGAGGCAAATGGACACTGGGCCAAACGCAAGCTGCTCTTGTCAGTCCCTCATAACAGGCCCCAGCCATATTCACCATGTACTCTGTTGCTGTAAATAAACAAGCCCTTAACAAACACAAATGCAAGAAGGAGCAGTGCCAATGGTAAGCCTGAGGATGGAACTGCTTCCTTTGGCCACCATTTCTTTCTCAGGGTCCTGTGCCCCCTAGGACCTGCAAGGGAAAAAGACCAGTCAGCATCAGGCTAGGATGCTACGATGTATTCCCCTATCATCACCTGTAGGAGGAAAATGACCTAAAACAAGAATCTTTGTCAGGAAGAGGTCACCTTGCTGGCCAGTAAGCAAAGAGAAAGCAATAATGGGTAATGGAGATGGGGAGGCCTGGCCCTAGAGAGAGTCCCCTGATGTGAAGTCCAGCAAGTCAATGCTCACCGTGGGGGACACCCCTGCTCCAAGTCCTGGATGGTGTCCTTCAGGGTCTGGCCCCGTGTCTCAGGCAGCAGAGCACACAGCAGTGCTGCCCCGATGGGGAGGCTGCCAAAGAGGATCATGGGGATCGCCTTGTGGTACTGCTCCAGCAGCATCACCAGCGGTGTGACGATGCCGCCAATCCTGGAGAAGATGCTCACGAACCCCATGCCTGTTTGCCTGGGGGAAGCAGAGCAAGCTGAGGCTCTGGGCACCAATCAGGCTGCACTCACTGCAGAGATGCAAGGACCCAGGTCTCAGCCACCTTTGCCTGCCTAGTGTGCCTGCTTCCTGTACCTGCAAGCCCTCTCTGTCACTCTCCTAGAGACCCAAACGCCTTCTCCACTTCTGAGCACTCCTCTCCTGCACCATGCCTTCACTCTTACTTCTGGTCCTGAGGAGATCACGACATGACCATGTCCATTACCCTCCAGTGTCCTGTGCAACGTGGTGAGTGGCACTGGACTTTCAGTGGCCAAGGCCCATCGGCACCTCGCCGGCTGCCTGTCCCAGGTGGCAGAGGGCCACAGGGATGGGTAGGGTGCCCAGGGCAGAGGACTAATGTCACCCAGGGGTTCTTACCTGACGACAGTGGGGAAGAGCTCAGCCGTGTACACGTAGGATATGGTGAAGGCAGAAGACCACTTGCGACCCAGCTTCTCCATCAGGAAGATGCTGGAAAAGCGGGCGGGCACCTCCACTGCTCCGAATATCACCTGTGTCAGGTAGATGTCCAGGCCAAAGTCCCCCACTTGGAGGCCGAGGCCATAGTACACCAGACTGTCCACAAACCTACAAGGTACCCAAGTGTCCTTGTCACTGCTGGGTGTACATCAAGTCACACCACAGGGACAGCCTGGCTTAATGAGCTCACACCAGGGGAAGAGACCACCATATTCACAGAGCCTCTGTCCACCCTCCTAGGACACAAGCCATCCCCAGGCTCTCTCCTCACTGAGGGACAAGGACCTGGGCACTTACCAGACAGCAATGAGAATCAGAGTCACCTTCCTGAGTTGAGGATGTCTGAAAAGATCTAGGGTGTTCCCTGAGGGCCCTGTCTCCTCAGGGACCAGCTAGAAGAAGGGCAGAGTGAGTGGCCGGTTCACAGGCAGAGGTTGGCTTGAGGCAGGGGGGAGGCTGTGCCTGCTTTCAGGTACCTGGCTCAGGAGCTCTGGAGACAGGGGCCGCCTGTTCACTGAGGCTGCCTTCTGGACCAGTTGTTTGGCCTCCTCTATCCTTCCTTGGGAGAGGAGCCACCGTGGAGATTCCGGCAAAACCCTGTCAACCACATCTGGCCCTGAGACCGGGGTCTTGAGCCCCATGTAGCCACCCAGGATTCCAGTGCACACTGAGCCTCCCACTGAAACTCCACAGGCTCCCCCTCTGTGTCCCACACTCTGCCACAGCATTTCCAACACAGGGTGGCCTACCACTGGCAAGGGGCTCCCTACCAGAAGTAGAAGAAGAGCAGGAAGACTGGTGCAGTGCCTATTATCTGAAATAGTCTCCAGTTGCGGACACCATAGGCCAGGCCAGCTAACACTATCTGCCCAAGGGCAAAGTTGTTCTGGGCCAGGACCATGGCTCGAGTTCTCCAGGACGGCCCCACCCATTCTGAAACTGAGAACAAAGGCTGCCACTGGGCTGCAATCTGATTTCAGCCCACTCCCTCTCTGGTGATCTTGAGATGGTATCTTGTCAAGTGCTGTGCTCTTCCTAGCAGAAGAAGCTCTGCTAGGACCTCCTTAGGTACAGATGACTGAAACTGTCCCCTTAGCCTGTTCAGAGGCTCTCAAGAGCTCAGATTGCAGACTGTCCCTGGGGTTCTGGGGCACAGATGCTCACCCAGGATCATGGTGCTCATCATATATCCAGCGACAGCAGTGGCTGAGATAAAGCACAGAACCATGTAGACTTCAAAGCTGGGCACAAAAGCAGTGGATACACCTATGATGCCTGACAGAAGCAGCTGCACCAGAATGGTGGCTCTGCGGCCAATCCTGAGTAAAGCAAAGAACACTCTGTGAGGTGAGGAGGCCTTCCCAGGACTGAGTCAAGGCAGACGCATGCTGGCCTGTCCTCGGCTCTCTGTCAGAGGGAGGAGATAGGATCTTCCACGGAGCCCCATTAGAAGGCAGCCTGAGGCAGTCATCTTCGTGACTGACAAGGCTCCAGGGAGATAACTGAGTCAGAACCAGGGGTGTAAAGGATTCGGCTCAGCAGCACCTACCAGTCACAGACGGGCCCAAAGACGAGGGCCCCGATGAGGAGTCCAGCCATGAACACAGACTGTGAGGTCCTCTTCAGGTTCTCCCGATCACACACCAGGTCAAACTGAAATGGAAAAAGGGTATGGAAGACTTGGCCCATGGTTCCAACTTTGTGTACTAAGACACCAAAGTGATTTCCTTGAGCACAGAATATTTAAATTTTATGGAATATCATACAATCCCTGACCTCTGCCTGACATCATACAACTGCTAGGCAGAGGCAGGAATGCACAAGCAGAAGGATGCGTGATTTGAAAAGCAGTAAAGCACCATGGGCAAGCAATGAGCGGGTGAATCAACGTGGAAGGAAACAGCGTTAGTCAGGACTGGAAGGAAGACCATCAGGGAGATCTCAGAAAACAGACGGAGAGAACAGCAGGTAGGGAGAAGAGTGGGGAGATAACAAAGTCAGGCCAGTGGACAGCAGAGAGACAAGCCAAAAGATACACACAAGACAAAAAAAAAAAAAGAGAGAGAGCAGACATTTGGGCAGCAGAGCACACAGAGAAAGAGAATGGCTCATGCAATCAGTTGGCATATAGTGCTCAAGGTTGCACACACTCCTGTAGCCTGGCCTGTGATGCCCAAAGGTGCAATGGACCAGGATGACTGGCAAAGGATAATTTAGGCTTACACTCAAACCGGCACAAGGACAGAGAGAGCACCAAGCACCAACCACAGGTACAGGGTCAGAGGAATAGACAGACTGTGAGAGAGAACACGCAATCCCACCTCGTTCTTTAGGGACGGAGGCCTGTTCTCAGGATAGTCCCAGCCTGAGTCGCAGGCCTGTGTCTCATTGAAGCGGTGGCTGAGGATCTCTTCCAGGCTGGCATTGACAGGGGGTGGCCGGTACATGAGGCAGGACTCAGGTCTGCCTGCTGTGTCATTGGGTATGCTCAAGGCCAGCTGTTCAGCAGCACTTAGGTTCAGAGAGTGGTTCTTGACCCAGGACACTGAGCAGTGGTGGGCCTCGTCAAGGACCATGAAGACCTGACTAAACACGAAGAATGCAGACAGGAAATTGGGGATGCCCATCAGGATGGTTACCTGTACCTGGAAGCGACCAAAGTCGCCCACTTCAGCCAGGACCTGTGCAAAGTGAGCCATGACTTCTGCTCACTCCTTAGTCTAGGAACACCAGGCAGGTCTGGGACTTGGCTTTTGGGTGCTTACTGGTCTTGGCTGCACTGACAGCTACATTAATGTTTAACCCAGCTGTGAGTAACTACAGCTGTCAGCTCACACTTTACCTCCGTAGACTGACCAGAAAGGATACGGGAAAAATAAAAGCACAACCACACTCATCTGAGAATGTTTTATTGGCTTGTGACAGACACAAGCATCACAGCACTCAGGAAGAACACCTTTCTAGGCAAAAAATCTTCAATGAGAGGTAGTTTCATCCTTGTTGGCCCCAACTACATCACAGTCATCCCTAATGCATTCACATCACTAAACAACTCAGATTCTGAGTGTCTGCCACACTTGGAGGGACATGGACATCTTTTCCAGGGACTAAACGTCCCCAGAAGTGTGGGATGTGACAGGTTTACAGTAAGAAGTTCATCAATGTCTTTTACTCAGCATTCAACCCCACGTTACAATGCCAGCTGAAATGTGCCTACCGATGCACTTGCGGCAAGAATGTTGTAGAGAACCCAACTTTTCTCAGTTGAGACCTGCGGAAGGAAATCTATGCTCAGGATTGTAAACATGACCAAATCCCATGGCTACTAAAGTCTTAGACTCTAAGAGGAATCTATGAATATTGTTTTCATTAAGTAGACATAATATAAAACCACCTTGTAAATTTGTAAGTTTGTTTATACTATATGTGTGATGTTCTCATCTTGGTCAGAGAAGTTTCCTGTTTTAGAGGGTAGTGGTCAATGTTGAGAGCTATGAACATGCAAATTGTGGAGAGAAGTTACTGTGAGTGTTCAGCCAGAGGTTTGGAACATCTCTATGTATCTCCCGGTGAGGTCAGGGACCATTACAGAACAGAAGGAGAGAGAGCGTGTAAGAGCTGCCATTGCTGTGCGGTGCATGTGGGCCGCTGACAGCACACCTCAATTCCTTGGTGTCGCAATGGCCTGCACATAACCTATACAAGATTAAGCCAGCCAACAATGGCAGCATTGGGTAGACAGAAACAACCCAAGTGTCCATAAAGAAAATGGGGCATATATATACCACAGAATACTATTCACCATAAAAAACAATGAAAGACTGCTCTTGTGACAACGTAAGTCAAACTGGAGATCATTTTAGTAACTGAACACAGCCAAGCATAAAAAGACAAACACCATATGACCTTATATGTGAGGTCTTCATCTCACAGAAGAGTAGAAGGAGTTACCAGGCTTATATGTGCAATCTTTAAAAACTTTTATCTCACAGAAAAATTCTATCAGTCGTAGATTGGTCAACAGAATCCTACCAATGCTAACGTCCTGATTTTGACAGATGCATATAATTATGTGATACATTTACATTTAGAGAAGCCACAAGGCAGATACAGGCAAATCTTTGGTATTGCTTATTTGCAAATATGTCTGTAAGTCTGAGTTTACTTCAAAATAATACCCGAATAGACATGTTTCCAGAACACACAGAAAGTTGGCCTACATGAAGAGGTTCAACAACACATTCATTAGGCAACTGCAAATTCAGATAAGGAACCACTGTATACCCAAGAGAATAGCCACATTCAAAATACTGACATCATTAGAACATGGCAAGAGTATAGAGCAACAGGAATACAAAAGCAGTACAGCTATTTTGAACAATGGTTGAGCAATTTACTTACTTACAAAACTAAACATACTCTTACCTTAAGACCAGCAATTATGCCCACTGGCCTTTTGTCAAATGAGTTGAAAGTGCATGACCCATAAAACCCTGTACAAAGATGATCTTGGCAGCTTTGTTCTTAACTGTCCAAACTGGGAGGCACTAATGAGGTCCTTCAGTGGCTGGGTGGTGAACTGTGGTAGACACTAGGATTAAGCGCTAAAAAAAGTTTTTAATTATGAAAACACATGAAAGAAGTTTGAATGAATATTAATAAAGCAAAAGATGCCCATCTGAACAGACTACATACTGTGTGATGCTAACTGTACAAAGACCAATGGGTCATGTGGGTATGCAAACCAGTGGAAGAGTGCTTGTCCAGCATGCATGAGGTCCTGGGTTCATTAGTGGCAGGAAGAGAACAAAAATAATCCACCACCCACAAAAATATTCATTCCTAAGGGTCAGTGGGGGAAGAGATGAATAGTTTAGGCAGAACTTTTAGGGCCAGGAGACTATTCTATATGAAGGTGGTTATACACCACGATACATTTGTCAAAAACCATAGACCACATAACAGCAAGAATTGATCTTACTCTAAATTATGGGTTTAGATGTAGTTTATTAACTATATCAAAACATTATGCCAGTGAAAGGCAGAGGAAGCCAGAGAAAGGCTCTTCAAGTGTAGGAAACACATTCTACTCAATTTTGCTGTGAAAACTATTCTACTATCCTAAAATTTGAAGTCTACTTTAAAAACCAACATAGGATAGATGACCTGACCCAAAGAACCAAGTAAAACTAAGTGTCCAAGCTGGGACAATCCCATCTGTTAGAACAGGTAAGCAGATGGTCCTGATCTAACCACTTGCACATAGCATGATCATACTCTGTACAACACTCACAGTTCACAGTTAACTTCTTTAATTTACTGATCTTGTACGTAAGCTTCAAACTCCACAGTTGTCTCAACGCCAGCTCCATAGCTCTCTCTCCAAGAAATGCTAGAACCTACAGCACTCCTGTCATAGATTTTAACTACTTCCATCAGGAAGGATTATGATCACAACAGCAGTCAAAGAATAAGCCAATGACAAGACACTGAGGAGTCTAGAATCTTCCACGAAGCCATGAAGCTGCACCATTCCTGTGGCTAAGTACCGTAGGGAAAAGTTCAGAACTGCTCTACATCTTCTGAATGTAACCCCAATGGCTAATCAGGAATCCTTCACTATCTAGAACCATAAGCAAAATCAAAGATTCAGAGAACAATCAAGGCATAATGGAGATGGTTCATAACCCACCATGTTTCCTTGGGCACTCTTCATTCTTTCTGCTTGGGGCATTTGTTTCCCCAACAGTTTTAAGCTGTTGTACTAAAGACTCTGTATGTCAGTATGTTCATTTTACTGTTTTTTGTTTTGTTTTGTTTTGATTTTCAAGACTGAGTTTCTCTGTGTAACTTTAGAGCCTATCCTGGCACTAGCTCTGGAGACCAGGCTGGCCTTGAACTCACAGAGATCCGCCTGCCTCTGACTCCCAAGTGCTGTTCATATGCACCCTTGCTTCACTCTATTCACAGGCAAACTCAAAGTAGTGACTTCATGCCCTACTCTACAGAGTTCATTGCCAACAGCCATTAAAAGAAAAAAGCATACATCACTAATGACAATTTATTCTTTATCTTTATTGATTAAAAATGAAGAAAACATGCAGTAAAATACAAAGTCAAGAGAAGAGGGAGAAGGTAATATTTTACATTTTCCATCATCTAGCATGTCATAAGGAGGAACTTACATTTACTGGTACATCATTATTCTAGCCTCCAAATTAACAGTCTCAGCTGGCTCTAAGATTTGGTTTGAAAAAAGGGAAAAACAGCAAAAACAAACAAACAAAAAAAACCAAACAAAGGAACAATTCCTTTAATCATTTAGAAAGACCACACATTTCACAAACAACATTGGCACATACTATCTTGTGCTATAGTTAGTCCCTACTCCAGGGACAAGGGTATCTTGAGGACCTAGTGACAGAGGTACACCCTGAAGCACTGCTCCTGGGAAGGAGAGACGGCTCCCTGGCTCCACTCTGTCCCACCTCGGCAGTTTCTATTGACTTGTTATCTTGAATCACTGTGTAAGCCAGCAGAGGGGTTCACCGCATACCATGCAGAAGAAGTAACGCTGCCATGGATCTTGGTGCCTACCTTCTAATTCCCAGAAAAGCAAACAATGAACTGAAAGAGAGAGCCCAGGCCACTTTTACTGCCATGCCTGCTCCCCACAGCAGGGCAGAGGTGAGATGGTCTGGAGATGTGAACACGAGAGAGGCTGCAGCTGGCTTTCAGCCTGGACCAGCTCCAAGTCAAAAGCTACAATAGCGTGATGCTAGACATTCCTTCTTGAGCTCGTAAGTGAATTCAGACAGGCTGTTGGAATCAACAGATTCTATAGCAAGCAACTAGTCTTGTGCCTGCTTTCTATACCTCAATCCCATTTCCCTGTCCTTCTTCATAAGCCTACCTCTACTAAGGATTTAATAGCTGATCAATCTTCATTCTCCCTGCTGAGTCGGCAGGTTCCTTTTACCAGTCCTGCTGGGACCTTGGACTCTGGTATCTCATCTATTCTCCTTCTAATCCCTTCTCAAACCCATCTCCTCTTCTCTGCCACATCCCTTTCCCAACATACTTTTGCACTCTTAACAGGTGAAGAAAGCTCACGATTGAATCTACATGTTCAGAATGAACGAAGCATTAGGTGAACAAGTCAGATACAGGAAATGTGTTCAGGTGTGTTCCAAAAGAAAACTCGCTAGAGCTGCTTGCATGAGCAATACTACGGTTTCATCTTCAGAACTATGTGGGGCCAGGATGAGGGTGGAAATACATTAGGTACCTAATCCTGTTCATCAGAACAACAATGGCAGGTACAAGGGTTCTATAAAAGGCAACTAACAAGTCCCTTTCTAGGGGCCCACAGCCCATCTTTGTGTGTCTCTTTAAGGCCAGACTGACTATTCCACTCTTATATAAAATTTGGTAACTTGGTAGGTAGGTTTTTCAGCAATTAGACAAATGCTATTAAACAGTAGGAAAAAAGAAAACCCAACCCCACTGATTATTCACACATTGCATTGAGTGCTCTCTTTTAAACCTAAAGAATAATTTACATAATTTCTGTAGAAAATCAAATTGATACTGTCTACTCATAAAACCTAAAGGTCACGGCACATGTGGTTTCATGTTCCATCTTGGGTCACTTTTAATGAATGAAGACACCCCTCCCCCCCTTCCAAGGAGTCAGTGCAGGAGAGGAGCAGAAGGCAGGCCTCTAGCCCAGCCCGAGTCTCCTTTACTGCTGTCAGTCTCAGCCGTGTCCGCCATTTCCTCGAGAAGCAGAGGCAAATGCGTCTTCGTAGGACAATCAAGGATTAGTTTTCCTTCAGTTCAATTTTTTAAAAGCTGAAAATACTTTCCCAATGATATGACTTATGAGTTCCTTTCCTTGTTCAAAAACTACCCGTGGCAAGGTAAAAGAGTTATACGCCATTGCTTGATGTTCCTGTAAAAACAATCCAAAGTTCCACTGTGAAGGAGCAGATGGCTGAAGTCTGACTGCTGTCAGATGTTTTGCACCAGCTGAAGTTAAGGCTAGCAACCCTTTCTGGAGGGAGCAAAGAAGGGGTGCCTGAGAACAGCTCCAGCAGAACACGGAGAGACACCATGAACACAACAGACAAGAGCTTAGGCTGCCTCCACCGAGGCTGTGCTTTTTCCTAACAAAGGTTGCTAGAAGTTGCATCAGGTACAAAGAAAAAACACTAATTAAATTCTCTGGGCTCCAGCTGAACAATCAACTTTTAATTGCTACTTCAGTGTTAAAGAGATACCCCAAGATGCTCAGGCCCCGGCAGGTACGGGAGAGCAGGCAAGATGAGGATGCCCAACGCAGCTGCTACTGCCCGCTCGGCCACTGCTGTAGTAAGGCAAGAGTAAGCTGAGAGATTTCCATCCTGGGCCCTGAGGCACACCAGCTGCTTCTCAGATGGAGGAAGAGGGGGACATGAGCAGCATATCTACTAACGGAACTCTCTGAGGGGATGCTGGCCACTGGCAATCCAACTTCTCTTTCCTTGTGGAAAGGGTGGGGGTGATGGCGAGAAGAACATAAATAAAGGTCTAAAGCTCCAAGCCGGGAAGTTTGTTGCTGGGCTCTTTGGCAGTTGTAGGTTCAGGCCAACAGAAGCAACAGATATGCATGTGTGGCACCTCCTTAGGCTGACTCTTCCAGGGCTGTGGTTTAGCTGATGCTGAGCTGGGCAAATCCTATTAGTTTGCCATCATCAGGAATATCCGAACCTTCAACACCAGATGCCTAAGAATCAAACAAAATGACAATTTTGTGGCAATTTATAAATAAAATTTCAGGTAGCAATAAAAATTGATAAGGACTGCAGAAAGGAAGGTAGTAGGTGAAAGGTCCCAGGATATAAATGGACACTACTTTGTTTCTTTCAGAAATGATGGGGGCTGTTGGTACAGCTAGAGTCAAACAGCTTTATAAGTTTTCTTGAGAGAAATCACAGATCTGGATTATAGTTTTCTGAGAGAAAGTGAGGCCACTCAAACTGAGTTCAGCCATGGGTGTCGGGAAGAGTAAATGGACAGAGCTCAGCATATTCTAACAGTCTTGGCATTCTCGGAGTAGAAAGGCTAGTTTGCAGATGGGTAAGAGGGGTGAATACCAGTTTGAATGTGACAGATCGATTTGACTGAGGTTCTTCCACAATTTTCTGCAAATTAGCTGCCACTGTAATCATACAAACAAAGAAAATTAATGAGCAGGTACATAAATACATTTTCAACAATATTTTAAAACCTTAAAATGGTGGTTAAGAATCTTTGATGTATAATCAAAATGGAAGAAAAAGGCATCATTTTCCAAATGAAAGCTATAGTCAATCTCCAGACTGAATAAATAAATTCTGCATCATTAAATTGTCTTTAAAATATATTAGCTACCCTTTTTAGACAGCTTAGTAAAAGGTATGCATTATGTTAACAGACCAGAAAGCCTATAACTAGGAGCCAACCAAGCCTGTGACCTGTTCTCACTCTACCTATAAATCAGAATGATTTTCAAATGACACACTATAAAAACCAAGTGTGAGAAACTAGCACTGTGGAGGCTGAGGCAGGAGATGGTAATAAGTTCCAGGTCTTCCTGGGCTACAGAGCAAGACTGTATCTTGAAAAGCACAGACTATACAAGGCCCACAAAGCCTAAACTATCCATTAGAATTAGTGTTTCAGAGGAAAGTGCTGGCAGTCCGACTGTATTAGCAACTGTGGCCTATCTTTACTTTGATTTTCTAGGATTTAATTGCTGTCCTCCTCACTTCTGTGTTCTACAAAGATTAGTTATGATACTATATCAGAAATGGAAGCGCCATTAACTTACTAACCTGTGAGTTTTCCTATCATTTCTACAGGTGTCCCAGAGACATCTACACTGTCAAGGGTCTGAGGTAGGACAGATTTTTGCTTGTTTGCTCTGGTATGGAACTGCCCTTGAACTGTAATTTTAGTGAAGCCAAGACTATTTCAAGAAGCTTCAGAATCCAGGCAGTGGTAGCGCACGCCTTTAATCCCAGCACTCAAGGAGGCAGAAGCAGGCATCAGAGCTGCTCACTGGAAGCTGGGCACACAAGATGACCTGAGGGCTAAGGGCAGAAGGTAGTATGCTCACCTATTACTAAATCCCTTCCATCAACCAGGCCAGCAGAAATGAGCTCTTGAGAGACCCCCTCCGCTGTGTCTGCAAGGAGAAAGAAGATGGCACTGTATTTCTTATGCACACATGTCACTGTAAATGTCACAGTCAGCACAGGTAGCAACACAGCCAGAATCAAGCTATCTACTAAATCCACAGAACAAAGAAGACAGGCAGGTTTTATCCCTGACCCCAAGAGAAGAATTCTCACAGGTCTGGTTAGGGAGCAGAATCAATATGAACTGCATGGCAAATATCAACTCAAATAAGAGATAAACTTCTAAATTACATAATGTAGAGTTCCCGAGCAAATCAGAAGAGTGCCCTACAGTTATGACAAGGCATTCCTGTGTTGAACAGAACTCTGAACATGAGCTCTCCGAGTTCTGAGACATAAAATTCAGTGCCAGCAATAGGGAAATTTATTCTCAAAACTTAGGAAAATACTTTACAGTCTTTTCTTAGAATCATAAAAGTTTACTGAAATTATTATCATTATTCTGGCAGTTGGTTTTCTTACCCACTCATGTTAGGCGATGGATATAACCAGAAGCCAAATAGATGAAGCCAACTATCTCAATCTAATTTCATCTTTAGGCTGGGCATGAACCTTTAATGCCAGCACCCTGGAGGCAGAGGGAGGCAGATCTGAGTTCAAGGGCAGTCAACACTACACAATGAAACCCTATCTCAAATAAGCAAACAAACAAATAAGCAATTTCAACTGATGAGGTACTGAAGCCTCACTGAAGGAAGGGGGGGGGGGTGCACACACATTCATACAAATGACTAGTAATTAAGTTCCTAAAAAGTAACACATATGCCTCTGTATGTCTGTGCTCATTCTCCTTAGAAGGAAGATCAACTGTGGAATTCAGCTGACTTCCAGACATTTGCTGGCCCCTCCTCAACTCCGAAGCCTGAGTTAACAAAGGTAAGAACAAAGAAGCCGCTTGCAGGGTGAAGTTCACAATCAAAACAGCACCATGACTCCACGGGAGGAAGCCTGGAGTGTGCCTCTCGTTCACTACAGAGAGGGAGTGTGCCTCTCTGCCTCTCGTTCACCACAGAGAGGGAGTGTGCCTCTCTGCCTCTCGTTCACTACAGAGAGAAGCAGCACTCGCGGTGATAACAATCAGGACTCTGAAAGAACTGAACTGAACTTCTACCTCTATCTAGTTCCTTCCTCTATTAAATGGGAATCACTTCTCCATAGGTGGCTGTCTTAAGAACCGAATGGGATGATGTTTAGGGAAATGCACAACCAACCGTGGTATTTACTAGTAGGCTCATGTTCATTACTATACATCTTATTGCAGTCAGGATTCCACATGAAAGAACTGACACATCCATTGAGTTTTTCTTCCTGACTATTTCCCAAAATCTTTACCATCATTTAAAAGCAAAACTTATCAAAATGACAAAAGCCTTATACCTAATTAGCAAATTATTAGTCATTGTGTTTTTGACCATTTTTTTAATACTTACCTCTCCCAGGAGTAAATTCAAATCGAATATCATTTAGTTCTTTTTTGGAATTCCTATAAAAGAAAACAAAATAAAGAAAATAAAATTTTCTGGATTTATGTAGAATTTATTACAATCTGCCAAAATGTATGTATGTGTGTATGTATTGTGAGAGCCAAAGTTACATTTTAAGCTTTAATTACTATGCCTAAGGGATCCATGACAAAAATGCCTCTGATCTGCAAGTCCCTCGAGCAAGGACAGATAGTTCCTGAAATGCCAGAGGTTATTGTTTATGGGCAATAACAAGCAACATGTTTTCATTCCCCTAAACAAGTTTGTCTGACCCATCTGCACGGAGTGTGCTTGATCCCATGCAGAATGAGCACAGACATACAGAGGCATATGTGTTACTTTTTAGGAATTTAATTACTAGTCATTTGTATGAATGTGTGCACACCCCCTCCTTCCTTCAATGAGGCTTCAGTACCTATCAGTTGAAACATTTGTTTGTTTGCTTATTTGAGATAGGGTTTCATTGTGTAGTGGGAAGTGTGTGGGTAGCAACTAGGTCAGGATGTACCCTTGCCCCTGTTTGGACATAAGAGGGAGGTATGCAGGTAGGATGTATGTCAGGATGTATGCTTGCATGTGATTGGACCTCATGGGAAATGCGGTGAATTATGGGTTTTGCCTTTGTAACCTCCTGCAAAATATGACTTGGGGTCATTTTCTGGGAAATAAAGAGTCCATCAACCTGGCCGGTATTTAATTAAAGCTTACTTCAAATTTGACTCTGATCTATTGTAGTCATCTTATTCTTGTCCAATGGGATTAGCAGTATATGTCTATATATGCATCCGTGCATATGTGTATCAGGAAGATTATTCTGTTCCCATAGATCATATACTTATCTCCACTAAGATAATGATGTGATCTGAATGAAGTCCACCCTGTTACTGTGTTGGAAAGTTAATCCCTACTATATAGCATCAAGAGGCTATGGGTTAATACAGGGAGTAGGTTTGTTATGTGAACTGTGTCTCCCGTTTCCTTGTGAACTCTCGAGTGCTAGGATTAAAGGTGTGTGCCACCACTGCTCAGTCCAAAGGTAGATTTTTAATGTGACTTAAGATGGGCAGAATTTGAACAGTCAGAGAGGACAGGAAAAGGAATTGGAACCATATTGGAAGCAGTTAATCTATGATCCAAGAAACTCAAACATGACTGGTGAGATACAGCTGTGATACACACTCAATGTGCTAAAATTATCCAGGCTCCCTGGAAGTTTCAGTTAAGGTAGAGAAATCAGAACATAATGTCTAACAGTACACAATAACACATCTCTGTGGAAACTCTTGGCCCAACTCTGACAACATCTACAGAGGAGTAAGAAAGCAGCATGTGGCCGCCCACTTACCTTAACCTCAGCACAAGACTGATAGGGACCTTGGTCTCCGTGGAGTGGTCTGCTGGAGACTGAGCCTGAAACGAGTGACAGACAGTATGAAGTCACTGATGGGAACATTAGCAAAGAGGGTCATCTGTGAAAGACACACGGCAGCAGTTTCCTATTCTCCAGCCTAAGCTTCCAGTTCCTAAGACACTCCCTGCTGTGGGAGGGGACCACCTCCAAAGGAGCCACAAAAGGCAACTGTCAGCCATGCCAAACACAATCAAAAAGTTAATTCCTAAGAAAGACATAAATGAGCTGTCTCCCAAGACTCCATTCAACCCAGGTTCCAGGCTTTTTTGCAGCTGAAGTAAATGTTTCTAAAAACTATAAAGCTACCCTTTGCTTGCTGGAGGACATACACTCTGTCTATGACATAAATCCACTCTTCTGTCAATTTTTCTAAGACACTTGTATTTTTCCCTCGCATGATAGACGAAGGAAGGGCGAAATGAAGTCACCACTATAACTAAAGGGAAGTTCTTACAGTAATGGTCGCCAGAGACTGAGCATGAGATGGTGATGTATTCAAGTACAAAAGGAAACGTCAGAGCTTTCATGTCTTTTCTCACCTAGCAAGCCAAGGGGGAAAAGGCACTTCTAATAATAAATGAACTGACACTCAAACTCTTACTTCAGCCAAGTGGCATAAGATTACACAATACAGAGTATCAGAGGTTTTCAGAATGGAGCCATAAAGTTACCTAGCATACAGGGATTAACAGTAAAGCCATTAACAACACCCAGACACTTCCACCACACTGCAATTTAATGACAATCATGTGTGATTAATTATTACCTAGCTTTAACAAAATCAATTCTCTCACAAAATGAACAACTTTTTTTGTTGTTTTGTTTTTGTTTTTCGAGACAGAGTTTCTGTATTGCTTTGGAGCTTGTCCTGGAACTTGCTCTGTAGGCCAGGCTGGCCTCAAACTCAGAGATCTGCCTGCCTCTGCCTCCTGAGTGCCAGGATTAAAGGAGTGTGCCACCAACACACAACATGGATAAATATCTTAGAATAATTCTGAAAACATAGGGCCTGAAAAACAGGTATTAATGAGTGTAAATGAGCAAAAGGAAAGATGGCTAACTCCACAGTCTCAAAATAAATTTAATAAAAACCTAATGAAGAGCTGACAATATAGTAGCCAACATTTTTGTACTTGGTATATTTCATAATTAACTTAATATTGTTGTTTCAAAGCCTGTGTGATCCCACAGGGGTGGGCCTAGGCCCTATCCCAAAGGATACGATAGATTCTGATGACACCATATGGAAGGCCTCATCACCCAGGAGGAGCAGAAAGGATATGTGATTGGTAGGGTTTTAGTTGGGGTGGGGTGGGGTGGGGTGGTAGGTGAGGACGGAAGGGAGAGGGAACTGGGATGTAAAGCAATCTTGTTTCTAATTCAAATAAAAAAAAATCTGCAGAAAAAAAAATAAACCTATGTGACCCTTTTATCTGTTGCTATAAAACTATGAACACAGAATTCCTCACTTGTTCCAAATCAAACTACCAACTTGAGAGTTCACAGGCTGCATTAATTTCATCTGCCCACAAGGTGACAGACCATGAAAGGACACTGCACTTTACCTGTGCTGTTTTTGCTGGCTCTGCAGAGGGCTGGAGAGATACTTGAGCAGGCTGTGTAGGCATCTGGCCAGCTGGCTGAGGTAGATGAGCAGAAATCTGTTCGGGAACGTGGAGCAAAGTGCCCATGGGGTCGCCTGCTGAAAAGAGCTGCAGCAAACACACGCAGTGTTAAGTAAATAGGGAGAGCGGTCTCCGACACCTGAGAGGCTCACAGGGAAAGTTCTCACCACTGCCTGTCTGTCTCACACTGAATTACCGCCCCTTCTCTGCACTTATCAGTACCGCATATAAGTCATTATTTCCAAGCATTCTAAATTCCTTTTGCTTTTGGTTTTTTAGAGGAGGTTATTTTGGAACTTGCTAGGTAGTCTAAGCTATAATATAATATAATATAATATAATATAATATAATATAATATAATCCCAAGTGTCAGGATTATAGATGTGCACCAACATGCCTGTTCTAGCAACATTCTGAGATATAATTACTTGTAAACCCTGGAAAGATGACCCCAGTAGGAAGTGAGTGGACTGTCATTGCCTGACCTCTGGAAGGGGTCAGCAGGTCAGTGCATGTGAGAATGTGCTGTTCTAACAGACAGCCTAGAGTCTCTGCTAGCTGTGCCATCTCTTCTACGTATGCTTCCATGTGTCATTCAAACTGTCATGTCACGGTGAAGTCAGCGCCTCACAAGAGGTCAACCAAAGGGAGCCACCACACCTGTGAAAATTGGCTTCTAAACTGAGGAGGAGGAGCAGCAGCAAGAGGAGGAGGAAGAGGAGGAGGAGGAGGAGAAGCAGGAAGAGGAGGAGGAACATGGGAGAAAAAGACAACGTCTTCAAGACATGGAGATGGGAAAACTGGATTGCCATGTGCAGAAGACTGAAATTAGACCCATATCTGTCACTCGGCACAGAAATTAGATGGACGTGGATCAAGTCCTCATTCTGAAACCCAAAAAACTAAAATTTCTAGAATATAGGCAGTACCCTGTAAGATATAAGTAAGGACTTTCTGAACAAGACTCCATCTGCCCAGGAAGTAAGGCCAACAATTGATATCTAAGACCTCATAAAACTCTAAAACTTCTATATAGCTAAGGAAACAATCAACCAAGTGAAGAAGCCCACAGAATGGGAGAGAATCTTTGTCAGCTATATATCTGACGAGGATTAATAACCACAATATACAAAGAACTCAAAAGACAAAGAATCAAGGAAACAAATGACCCAATTAAAAAGTAGTCTAAGGGTCTAAACAGAATTCTCAACAGAAGAAATAAAAATGACTTAGAAACGCCTCAAAATACGTTCATTCTCCTAAGCAATCAGAAAAATGCAAGTAAAAATAATTTTGAGATTTCATCACCCCAGTTAGAATGGCTTAAATCAGCAAACAACTGACAGCAGATGCTATCAAGGTCATGGAAAATGGTTGGTAGGAAACTAAAAGTAAATCTACCATATGATTCAGCTGGTAGATGCTCCTGGGATGTGCCCAAAGGACTTGACAGCCTACTGCACAGAAACCTGCTCAGCAATGTTCATGGCTACTCTGTTCACAACAGCCAGAAAATGAAAACAACTTAAATGCTCTTCAACAGGTGAACGGACAACGAAAATGTGGTTCATATACACAATAGGCACTATTTAGCTATAAAGAAAAGTACAAGCCTGAACTCTGCAGGCAAATGGAACCCAGACCCAGGAAAACAAATGTGTCATGTTCTTTCATCTGAGGTTCCGAGCTGCAAATACTCACATACAAGTATACAACATGAGTAACCACAGAAATTAAGAAAGGACTGCAGATGGGGGTAGGTGGGGGGAAGAGCAGGAAGCAAGTGATAGGAAGTAGGAAAGGGAGTAACTGAGAGGGGTTTCCAATGCGGGAGGGCAAACAGATGATCCAAACAGAAGGAAGGACAAGTGACAAATAACACCAAGGCTGTTTGACAAAACCTCCAGGAATCATATTATTTTATATTTACCTAATATTATATATAAAATATATCAAAGGAAGGAGGCCAAGGCAGAAAGATAAGGAGTATAAACCAGACAGGCTACATAGTGAGATCTTGTCAGAGGGGCAGGAAAGGATGGGGAGCTTTGTAACTAACAGACATTACATACTGTATACTTCAAATATTTAATAGATTCTAATCAAGTATCTGGAGGAAAAACAGATCTAATTATAAAAGTAAACCAAACGTTTTAAATTAGCTACTGGGAAAAATATCAATGTAACAGACAATTTTATAAAAGAAAAGTCAATGAACAATAATAAAGGCTTACTTTAACAGAAAATAATAGGAAGACACACACATATTCTCTCTCTCTTTCCCTCCCTCCCTCCCTCCCTCCCTCTGTACATAAGTAAAATCAAGGAGATGTGCTGGAGAAATTAAGTGGGCTGGTGCTCTTGCAGAGGACCAAAGTTCAGTTCAGTTCTCAGCACCTTGCCTCAAACCAAACAAGATGAAAACATAAAGAGAATGACCACAACTCAGCAATCCCACTTCTAGATGTACAGCTCAAGAGAACTGAGAGCAGCTATTATACATTCACATTCATGGCAGCATTGCCTACAACTGCCAAAGATAAGAGCATTGTTGGGCAGATGAATAAAGAAAAGAAACCACACCTACATGTATAATGAGATATCATATACATAGCCTAAAAATGAGGAAGACATTCTGAGACATGGCACAACATGGATGAACCATGAGAATATTGTGTTGGGTAAAATAAGCCAGTGAGAAAAGAACAAATATTATGACTCAACTAAGATGAAATATGTAGAATAATAAAGTTTACAGAGATAGAAAAAATAAAGGGAGTTCCCAGGAACTAGAGGTGTGAGAAAGTTCAATGACAGAGTTTTAGCATGGCAAGATGAGCAGTTCTTAGGACAGACGTGGTGATGGCTGCACTGAAGAATGAATGTGTTCAATGTTACAAAACTGAAAATAACTGTGACTGTGAATTTATGCTATATTAGCTTTATTACAATTAAATTAAAAACAATGTAAGCAGCATGAGGATATGGGTGTATGAGAACTCACATGAACATGCTTTAGGGACAGACAGTGAGAAGACTAAAAGGAAAAGCTCAGGTAATCTGTAAAAACTTCCTCATATAATTTTGAGAAATTAATCAATACAAATTAAATCAGAATCAACAGTTCTAATATTCAGTACCTGAATGCACTCAAGGTGTTTCTTGTACACAGTTCAAATCTATCTGAGCAGCAGCAGCTATTAATGTGGTATTACTGTCACACAAGGAAAGAAGTTTACAGTGACAGGGTAAGGAATAAGGAAACACACAGTGACCCTCCCTTCTGCTAACTTTTAAGAGAGTAGGTGAAGGACAGGGTCTCATGCATCCCCCATTAGTTTTGGGCATATCGTGTGGCCAAGAATGATCTTGAACTTCCTTTTTGTTTCTTTTTTTTCTGGTTTTTTTTTTTTTTTTTTTTTTTTTTTTTTTTTTTTTGGTTTTTTGAGACAGGGTTTCTCTGTGGCTTTGGAGGTTGTCCCGGAACTCCCTCTGTAAACCAGGCTGGTCTTGAACTCACAGAGATCCGCCTCCCTGTGCTTCCCGAGGGCTGGGGTTGAAGGCATATGCCACCACCAGCCGGCCGGCCTATGTTGAAGTTCTAGTCTTCCTCCCAGCAAGAGCTGGGATGACAGACACAGGCACCCATACCCAGTTCTATGTAGCACTGGGGATTGAAGCCAAGGTTTCAGCTATGCTAGGAAAGGGTTCTTTCTACCAACAAAGTCAAAACCTCAGCCCCGGCTACCTTTCCACTGGCCAAAAGAATGACAAGAGCGTGCCTAATTTCAGGTCTGGGAAGAAGAGTGAGGAACAGGAACAGACAGCAGCTGTAGTGTCGTGTCAATACTAGCCTGCTGATAATTAAGAGATACAATATAGCTCTGTGAGCATAAGTCATGTACTTAGTAGTGCATGTAATCTGAATACTATCTATACAAATTAAGAGCATATATTTTTTTTAATTAAATACTGTATTTAAAATACAAAGTGTTACCAGGAGGAAGACTATACAACAGAATAAACCTATGAAATTACTTCTCTCAGACATTAAGCATTAGAGAAGTTCATTTTACAGAATGCTGTTTGATGGGAGTTTCCTATCACACTGGTACAATTAAGTACAAAAACAACAACAACAAAACAGGATTTGCTTGCTAAAAATTAATCAAATGCAAGGACAACAATGTGACAAGCTCCTAGACAGATTAATTAAGGCAAAACAACCACTTTGCACATCAAGCAGCCCAAGCCTGAAAAACAGTTCAGCAAGCAAGGAATGGTCTAAGCTTTAAGCCACCTTCAGATGTGGCTGCTGTAACACCTCATTGACATTTCGTCACATCCAGTGATACACAGAGACAAAGACAGACAGACTGACTGAATGAATGAACCTGACATTAAAAGCAAACTAAAAGGTCTGTTTTAATGAGGACATGATAATCTGCAGTTACTCACCTCAGAATTGGACAGTGAGTCTTTCACTCGGGGAGACTGAAAGACACAGCAAAAGATTCTGTTAGCTCAAAACTTAAGATTATTTGTAGTCAGTTTCATGCAGCAAATTCCAAGAAACTGTAAAAATAATACTGATTACAAGCTACTTTATTCCATTCTGGTCCATAAATTAACTCAAGTCTGAGTTTTCTGAAAAGAAGAAAGCTGTTATATTATTAGTTTCGTAGCACTAGTCCATAATGAACATCAATACACTCACCATATTACAAGTTAACAGTTTCAGCCAGGCATGCTGGCTCATGCATATAAATAAGCCCAGCACTCAGGAGGCAGAGGCAGGTGCATCTCTGTGAATTCAAGGCCAGCTTAGTCTACAAATTGAGTTCCAGGACAGCCAGGGCAACACCATTGAGACAGTCCCTCCCAACCCCCACTCCCACCCCACCCTCATCCCAGCAAACACCAACCCCAGCACTGGTCTCAAACAAAATAGAATAAAACAAGAGAAAAAAAATTAACAAAATCATTTTTATAAGCAAACATCCATACTGCCTGAGTTCTCAGGTAGAAAAAGTCATACGCAAAAGCAAATTTCTTTCCATTAACCATAAACATACGATTAATGGTTATGTTAATAAACATAATCATAAACATATTCCTAAGATCACAGGCCAAATCTAAGCCTTTAAGCTAGTTATTCAACATATTTTCAAAGTCCCATTATAAATGTTTTGCACAGCCATGTTTGCAGCTGTGTTATCTAGCTACATGTCCATCAACAGAATGGCATGAAGTAAATGTGGTAAGTATACGATGGAATTTTATTCAGGAATAAAGAAAAACAGCTAGGCATTTGCAGGAAAATTGAGTGAAGGTAGAAAATCATTGTGAAACCAGACACCCCTGAAAGATAACCACATCATATATAGGTGCCTAGGGTTAAGTTTTGATTTCGCACAGTCAGTAAGGCTAGAGAGAGAACCATAAGAGGTGAAGGTGTTTTTTTTTTTGGGGGGGGGGCAGGGGAGATAATGGAAAGCAGAGGCATGAAAACTGAATGGGGATGTTAGAAGGGAGGAGGAAACCAGCAAGACATGACCTGGAAACGGGGAGGGGACACAGAAAGGACAAGAATATGTCCAAGGTAGTAAGGACAAAGTATAAACAGAACTCACTACTTTGTATACTAATTTTTAAATTAATTTTAAAGAATTCTCAAACTAAACAAACATAAAAACTAAAACCTCTAGAGCTATCATCTAGTCCAGACACACCACACCTGTGCATATGTAGGATGGAATTTTAAGCCAGAACACACAGAGATGTGTGTGCTTGCAGAGTTAAAGCTGTTACAACAGCCAAGACACAGAACCAGTTCATTTTCACAAAATGGATGAAACTGCAGATAACTAACATTAATAAGCAAGACTGTTGTATGGAGACTCTAGGCTGAAAGGGGCGAGGTAAGGTAGAGGGAGAGAGAACTAGAAAGAGGACATACACACCATGGCACCCAAGCCCAAGTAAGCAGATGGAGAGCAATGCCCTGAATGTGACAAGGAAGCACAAGGGAGACCCCTGGCAGAGGACACTGAAGTCAAGAAGCCGATAACGGCTGTAGGGAAGACAAGAACAAAATATGGTATATACATTTGAAAGTATCACAATGAAACCTACTACCTTACAAGTTAACTAAATTTTTCTAACTATAAAATCACAACATTATTGGTAAGCAATGAGTGAAATTCACCTTGTCTAATGAGGCAGAAAGCACTCTGGGTGACGACAGTGTGAACAGACACTGAAGCAAACAGAACTGACAAGCACACCAGAGTTACCAAGGGACATTACAAATGGTGCCTCGTGGCTACATTACTTATGTTTTAAAAACTAAGTAGCAACACACAAAAAAACTTAACAAATAATAAAGGAAACAACACATAAATGTCTGATATTAAACACTGACAGTTATGTGGAGGCATAAAAAACAAAGGAACAAACCTTCCACGTTACTGCAATGCCTGACAGGAGACAGTCTGCACAGGACATGCAGCAGGTCTGAGAAAGAAATGGTCAGGGTTTCTGTTGCTGTGAAGAGACACCGTGACCACAGCAACTCTTACAGAGAAAACATTTCATTGGGGCTGCTTACAGGTTCAGACATTTTGTCCACTGTGGTCATGTTGGGAAGCATACTGGCATGCAGGCAGATATGGTCCTTGAGAAGGAGCTTAAAGTTCTAACTGGATCTGTAGACCAGGATGGCCTCAAACTCAGAGATCCAACAGCCTCTGCCTTCTGTATGCTGGGACTAAAGGTGTACACCACCACACCCTAAGATTTTCTTTTATTCCTTTTCAAAAGTTGGAAACTTAGTTGGGTGGGATCTTGTCCTAAGGTCAATACTCCCTTTATTCCAGTTCTTAATCTGTTTATCTCTTGAACACAGGACTTAGTTTCATTCTACTTTGGAGTGCTCCATTTCTCCTCAAATTGTACATTTTGTATTTTTACTTTCTCAACTTGCTTCTTTTCATTATAAATCTTCAATAGAGTTAACACTAATAACTATCCCACTGGGCATGGCTTAAGCATAGGAGTTCTCAAACCCTTCCTCCACAGTGACACACTTCCTCCAACTAGGCCACATTTCATAACAGTGCTACTCTCTATGGCCAAGCAGTTAAACACATGAGTGTATGGGGCCATACCTATATAAAACACCATAGAAAGCATGAAGGACAGCACACTATCCAAAATGAATGACAAAAAATAAATGTTTTTACTATCTGTAACTTTTGCAGAACTTTTCTAAGCTTGATGCTTAATAAATATTTGCCAATTTTCATCTGCAAGGCTGTTGTGGGAATTCTTCCTGCCAATAGCTTTGGGGTAGCGGCCATAGAGAGTGACCCTGGGATGCTACGTGAGGAGAAAGTGCACTCGTCTCTTATTCTGGCTTATGCTTGGCATGGCAGGAGATCAAAGCCACAGAGCAGTGGTGCGGAATCAGCAGCCTTTAGCCTCACTCTGTATCTGTCAGTTTGTCCTTTTCATTGCACCCCTTAATAAATCTGTTTTTATACCTTTGTGAGCACAGATTTCACTTGGTGTCCAATGTGGGGCTGAACCCCACGACCCACAGCTAGCAGCCTGGCATCTACCTCCAACTTCTTCGGCTACTGGTGCTTCCCACGCCCTTCTGAGCCCAAGCTTAGGTCGGCCCCCTTTGAAATCCAGAGGGCCACTCCTAGCTGCCTAGGCAGCCTCTGAGAGTTCCATAGCCCCTACGTGGGGCCCAGAGCCTGCGGACATTCTCGAGCTGTCAGTTTCCAGCTCTTGTCTTGGTGATTCTCTGGCACTCCCAGCTCCCTTTGCGCTATTGAAGAGAGGAAGTTAAGGCGGTTGAACAACAAGGTAAGATCCATGGTTAGGAGGCCTCCCAAGATCAAATTCTTGGTGAGAGCTGTATGCTGATGCAAATAGTCAGGCTATGTACAATGAACAAATCTAGTCCCTATGCTGTACAGCAGACCTGAGTGCTTGGGACAGGATTCAAGAACCAGGAAAAGAACTGAGTCTTATACTAAAGTTATACAAGACTCAAAAGAACCCTTTAGTGGCCTTTTGCAAAGATTGACTAAAGCTGTACATATAGGGGTATCAGATTCAGAAGTAAGGAGAGTACTCACTGAATCTGTAGCTTTTGAAAATGCTAATTTAGGATGCAAAAAGATACTTGGGCTTTTAAAGGTCAGATCAGCATCCATAGGTAAATGGAGCCAATATTGAGTCTCTTAATTATAATGATGGGGCCTGGGTAGGAAAGGCCATTTCCAAAGGCCTAAAGAGACATCAAAATATCAACTGTTTCAACTGTGGTAGAATAGGTCATCTGTGAGGAAACTGTAGACAGGGAGTTCCTAGAAATCATGTTTCTTCTAGGAAACATCCAAATAGAAGGCCCCAACCTTCCAGAGTATGCAGAAGATGAAGCAAAGGCCAACATTAGACCAATGAATGTAGATCCACAGGAGACAAACAAGGCAACACTTATTCATCAGGACAGTCCTTAGGAAGGCCTGTCACAGGCCCCCTGCTTAACATGATCCAGTTATCTCCAGTCACTGTGGAGAACACTCCTCCCCAGAACACTAGAAAATACAGTGCCTATCATAAAAAAAAAAAAATTAAAATTAAAAAAGAATACTGCTTTAGATGATAGAATAGCTTTGGAGGATGAATAAAAAATCCAGGAGGAACCAGAAAATGTATATTTTGTTAGACTGCTACAAATGACCAAAGACCAAAGCTAAGAGTACAAATAACTAACATTATAATTAAGGGATTATTAGATATAGGATCAGATGTGACTATTATTACTACAGAATCTTGGCATCCGAATTGGCATCTTCAGGAGGTAGATGTTCAATTCATAGGGATTAGAACCCCATCTCATGTAAAACAAAGCACAAGATGGGTTGAATACACAGGGCTACAAGGACAGAGGGGAAGGCTGAGGCCATATGTGGCTAGTCTAGAAGTAATTTTATGGGGTCTTGATCTGTTATAGCAATGGAATACGCAGCCTCAGAATTGGACCATAAACCAATGCCTGTTTCCTTTCAGGCTGTACAAAAACAGGGCACAACTGCTGTCGAACTCTCAGAGGTACCAATGGCCCTACCCTTAAAATGGTTAACTGACAAACCTATCTGGGTTGGGCAATGGCCTAGGACATCAGAGAAATCACAGGCTTTAAAACAGCTGGTTCAGGAGCAGCTAAATGCTCAACATACTGAAGACTCAAGCAGCCCCAGGAATTTCCTGTATTTGTTATTTAAAAAGAAATCATAAAAATGGAGAATGCTGAAAGACCTGAGAGCCATAAATAAAGTAATTTAGCTGATGGGCTCTCTACAGCCTGGAATGCCCTTGCCCTCTCTGATACCTAAAGAATGGCCTATTATAGTTATTGATTTAAAAGACTGCTTCTTCACTTTATAAGAAAAAGACAGGGAAAACTTTGCCTTCAT